TGCTATTCAGAAGCTTCTGTAACTATGATAAATTATTTATATTTGTAATTTTAAACAGAATTTTGAGGCCCTGAACTACCTCTTTTGATAATTCTTTTCAAATCCCCAAATTGTGTTGTAGGGTGTTTGTGTACATGCACGCACTTGAGATCAGAGATGCTCTCTCTTCCCTTGAACGCTGCCTGAACATAATTCAAATGGGCAAAGTATATAGTTCAGTTTTTCTCAGTTGATGTCAATCAGAGCTTCCCTGGGGCTTTCAAGTGTTGTTGGTTGGTTTTTTGTTTGCTTGTTTTGGGGGTTTTGTTTGTTTTGGTTTGTTTTTTTTTTTTCAGTTACAAGTTCTCTCTTATCCTCCTTCTCTGGAGTGGTTTGCTCTTCAACCACTAATATACTTTCAGCAACTGGTGCCTGCATTATCCATAGGTGCTGTGGATGTGGCTTCACTGGTGTGTGTTAATAGGAAACAGACTTTGCCTTTGGCAAACAGCAAACACCTGGGCTGGTGTGGGGCTGTAGTGCCTGCCCTATGGGGAGAGGCTGAGGGAGCTGGGCTTCTTCGGTCTGGGAGGATCCTCAGTTACTTGCAAGGAGTCTGATGAAGAGATGGAATTGGGCTCTTTGTTGCATATGGTGGGAGGATAAAAAACAATGGGTAGAGACTGAAACTCTGACCAGAATATAAGGTGAAAAAAGCAGTGAAGCAGGTTGAGAACTGCTGGAACAGGTTGCCTGGAAAGGCCATGTAGGCTCTGTCCTAGTTTAGGACATGACTGAATGAAGTCTTCACAACTGTCTGCCTTTTTAGCAGGATCTTTGTGATGTCCTTTTATGCCTGAATTACCCTGTGTTCCTTTCAGGCTGGAAACCTGACCAGCAACTGGCACTGAATTTCCAGCCCCTCTGGGTGATTCACTTGCCCAGCTCCCTGTAAAGGGAAGGGATTTCTGTGTGATAGAAAATGTGGTGTGCTCTTGCAAAATTACTTCGCCTATTGAGGAGAGGGTAGCTGCATAATTGCAGGATGGGATGATCAGATGTTTGCTGTCTTCTTCAAAGCTCACAATTACTGATAATCACAGTTTAAATGCATGCAGCTGACTTTCTGAGAAAGTCACATGGTAGCAAAAGTACATCCAAAGGTGACAAGGACCCAAGTCTGGAAGTATCTTACTACTTGCAGTGAAAAAATCTTGACTTCGTATGCAGTACTCCTGCAAAATAATATTATTTACTTTAATTCTATGGGTTGAGTACCTAACTTCCTGGCTGCTTAATTAAGGAGTAAAATTTTAATCCCTAAAATATTCAAATTGGTTTAAAAACAGCCTCTTTGTTGCTCTGGACCAATTACGGTGTGACTTCGCTCTTTTTGATGGCTAAACACAACAGGGTGTGAAACATGGCCACACTAGACCACACATTCCCTCTTAATGATAAAACAGTAGTGGTCACTTGTCAAACTTAAAGCAATCCCCTGTTTATTCCCACACTGGTTTCTGTTTCTTAAAACCAGTTTTGTGATTGTCTCTTTAGACTACACCCTAAAACACTTTCTCTTGAGAACAGGCTTTTGGCTGGTCACTCTCCCAAGCTGAAGGGTGAGGCCTGCACCAAGAACGTTTCTTTTTCTAATGGTGGTGGTTTTTGTCTGACTTCCAGCAGTGCCTGGGGAGCTTGGGTTGTGCTTGAACTGACTCCCCTCTGACCACTTTTGCATCATCAGCCAATTAAAAATCAATGTGATTCAAATAATAATAATTGCTGATAGTTAACAAAACTAGGCTGCTGCTTGGAGCTGAGGGAGACATGTCCAAAACAGAAAAGTTCTGGTATTTACTGGGTCTTTGAAATGAGAAAATTCACGTGGAATCTCCTCCTGGGGGCACATGAGTAAGATACCGGCTGCATTGGCTCTGATGTCCCTCCTCACTCCTTACTGTTCCTTGTGCTTTGGTGGGGCTGCACTGAGTCAGTGCCTCTCCCCTGGGAAGTTTAATTCCCCTTTTGGCTTTCTTGCCACATAGAATCCACACACATTAAATAGCTGAGATACATAAAGACCCACTAGACAGTGCAGTGTGATGATTAATGTTTATTCTTTTAATCATGTTCTGCACTGTGTGATACTTCAGTGCCTCAATACCCTATTAGGATCTTTGGGAGACTTACCAGAATTCGTAACAATCTTTTTATTTCAGTTACTGGATTGTACCTGCAAACCAAGAAATCTCTGTAAAGAGGAACTGCATCTTCACTTTCAGGTGAATCCTTAAAACCTTTGTTTTATAAAATACAGTATCTTCCAAGGAAATTTCCTTCTGGAAGATTAGTTCTTGGCAAGCAAAGGACAGAGAACTTATTATGAAGTTGAATTAAGAAACCTCTACTCTAGCTATTGAATGTATGACTCCAGAAAAGAGAAATATATCATATGGTTTTATTCTAACACTTTTGTTATAGCTCTATTAATAATAAAGTTTTGATGAATGAAGTACATGAACCTTGCTAAAGATCATCTAAGCATGGAATGTCTACAATGTAGTCAGCTACAACCATTTACTACTTCTTTGAGTAGAGTTTAAAACTTTGATTTTACATTGCATTTCCAAAGTACACAGAAAAAATGAAATAGGAAGAGCATTTACATCCATTTTAATTGGTGGCAGGCATGAATTCATAAAAACAAATGGGGAAGAAAGACCATTTAGCAGAAACCTCAAAAAGTGCAGATACAGATTTGTTGAATGACAATCTCATGAGATTCTCCAGCAGGCTTGGCCTTTTAGACATTACGGTCATTAAACACTGTCACACAGAAGTTCTCAAGGTAAGTGAAGATGAAAGCATACTGCAGAAACAAACTGGTGCTTCCATACATTTCAATCCATTGGTAACGGAGATCTCCTCAGATAATTTACCTTTGTACTGCTTTGCTTCGAGGTAGTCGGTCTCCACTTGTTACAGATTTGTTTGAATTAATACCATAAATCTTTACATGGTGACCTATGCCACAAATTACATAATATATTAACTTTCGTGCACAAAAATAAAATTGGGAAATAATTAACTTTAAAGAACATAGAAAAATCACAATACTATTAAAGGGGAACATCCGATTCTGATATAAATTTGTACTGCAAGAATTTCATGATGGTCAGATGTGAAACTTTGTATTTAAAAAAAGAAAAAGTACATCAAACTGAATAATGCTAGTAGTATATAAAGCCAAATCACACAAGATCATTTCAAGATCAATGTAATAAACGCTTATTATTTTGCAGAAAAAAAAATCAGAAACAATGTACAAAATAATAGTGCAAGAACAGCTGCAATCTATTTGTTCTCATCAGTTTTGAGATTTTGGTTAAAAACTTTACAGCTGGCGAGAGATGCTGCTGAAAAACTCAGATTCCACTCAGTGGGCTGATTAAGGCACATCTTTATGGACTTCAAATGTTCATTTTCTGTGTTCATGTCTATTGAATTCTGCGGCTCCGAGACTTTCACTTGTAGTGTGCTGTGAGAAGAGAAGCGGGGGTGGGAGAGGGGGGAAAAAAATGACAAAAAGTTTAGTACACTTTCCTCTTCCCCTGCAAACAAGCTGATAAGAGGCAAGATGAGGTGGTGGCAGACTGTGCATTCTGGTGGGGGTTTTTTTTGTTGTTTTACTGCACTATGTTCCAGAAACACTGAGATTAGAACCTGACTGTGCTGTGCTCTGTGTTGTAAAGTAGACTGGGCTTGTTTGTGTTGGGATCTCAGAGCCCCTCCCACGTCAGTCTTCTGCTCACACTGTTCTTTGCAGAAGTGCAATAACAGGGTTCTGTTGCTTAAATTATCTCCAGCTGGCACTGTAAAGGCATAGAGCAGGACCTGGGCAAAAGTTTGGGGCTTGTTTTTTTCGCTGACAATGTTCATTTGGTACAGCCATGAAAGGTCTAACACACAGACAGTATTTTGTTTCAAATCTAGGAAAATAAGTAATACAAGAAGGGAAAGAAATCCAGCCCTTTGTAGGGGTCACTAACAGACTGGGACAGACATGTGGATTGAATCATTGAATAGTTTGGGTTGAAAGGGACCTTTAAAGGCCATCCAGTGCAACCTGCCCCTGCAATGAGCAGGGACATCCTCAACTAGATAAGGATGCTCAGATCCCCGTCCAGCCTGACCTTGAATGTTTCTGGGCAGCCTGTTCCAGTGTTTCACCATCTTCATCATAAAGAATGTCTTTTTTCACATATAAAGCACAATCAGAAGACAATTTCAATCCTAATTTCAAACCCCTCCATCCCTACTTTTTTTTTATTGTCTACCTCCTGCAGTGATTTACCTGCTGTGTGCATTTCACTGTTTTTCACCATCCTTTTCAAAGATTTCAAGAATGACACAAAATTGAAAATATTTCTAATTACTGAGATACTAAAAAATGTCCTAAGTACTGTAATTAGGGGTAGGAGATAAGCACCATGCTAAAAACTATCCAAACACAGTTTCCTATCAAAGGAATATTTAAAAAAATATCTCTTAATGGCTTTTACTTGCTGCATTTAATGAAACAGGACTCGAGTGCAAATTCTGAAGGACTGAATCTGCTCTAGTGTAGTGCTCACATGAGTGTGCAGGGTAGCTGAGGACAGACAGTCAGTATAGGGCTATAGCCTAAAACATATTGGCTTGCATTGCTAAATACCATGGACTGACTGATTAAATCTTTTCCTCTGTCCTGGAAAGAGGGAAAGACAGCTTATGTAACAGTGAAAGTGACAATTCACTGATATTTTTCACAGATCATCTGAAACACGGTTTTAATTCTTTTACATTTTGATGTATGCTCTCCAGAGAAGTCTTGTGTCCTTGCCTTTCTGACATGGCTGTGGAAGAGGCATTTCTCATGTCCTAACCCTAGTTCCCAACACTCCATAACTGGTGTATGGCTCCCATTCCCTGCATTTCCTTGTGTTGTTCTTTAGCCTCTATCTTTTGTCTCGTTTTTCCCTTGTACTCTTTTCCTCTGGATGCTCTGATCTTTTCCTTCCTATAGGGAAGGGAATGCAAGTGTAAGTGATGGAGACGACTTCAGCCAGCAAGGTTGCTTTCTTGAACTTCAAATCTCTTCAGACTTGAATATTTGCCCTCAGAAGCTCAAAGCTTTTTGTTAAGACCATGGGATTGAGTGCATATGTGAGATCGTGTTCAAGCTGACTTCTCAAGTTTGCAGCTCATCCCCTACTGATTTTGTACTTTCCAGCAAAACGTAAACTCCTAACAACTAATCAATAGCTAAATGGAGAGAAGGGCACAAATGGTGGTGTTTGGTTTGGGGTTTTTTGAGGGTTGGGGTGGTTTTGGTGTGTGGTGTTCTTTGGTTTTATTTCTACTCTCTTTAAAGCAGCAGGCAGACAATCCCTGTTTAATGCTGGGAAAATGCCAGACAGAAAAACCTAAAGGTTTGGGCTTCTCATATGATCTAGCATGTTACTTCTGTATATAAACTAGGAATTGTACCAACTTGGTATATTACCAGGATTTGGTGGAATTTGGACCATCATTCTTTCCCAAGAAAATGCTGAGTGCTATAATAGTACCAAACAGCACTTTACCAAGTAGTCAACTCTGTGAGGGACTGTCCTACTCTCCATCTTTTAGAGTTTTTTACAGGTTTCTGTACAAGGTGTAAAAAGCTGGACTGAATTTGCAAAAATAAAGCTGAAGTATGTGCTGATAATTGTCATGCAGTGATTTATTTACCTCTCACAGAAGAACTCTTTTGACTTTGCTTTTGAAAAGAATGCATAAAAACAGGAATAGAAAAATGTTATTTTTTTTCAGTTCCCAGTACAATACAAAAAGCTTAAGTGTTTTAGAAAATTTTACCTTGATAAAAATGAAGTGGAAAATATGGTCAGATATCTGCATTAAGATATTTGTTAACTGAGAAGAACCTAGTTTTTCATTTTGCTTTTCATTCTTTTACCTGTAGTGATTTATTTATTTATTTATGTTGACGTAACAAAGTAAGAAAACCTTTTTGAAATCAGAAATTTTAATTAAAGGAATACAGTTAAACAGAAGCAGTTAAATTTCTCCAGCCAAATCCATCAATAGATTCTACTCTAAATTTTATTCCACTTTGCTTGCAAAAGCTCCACAGTACATGAAGCATTCCTTGTAAAAGAAAGAGATGTTACACACAGCAACCCTCCTCTCAGGAAGAACTGCAGGTTACAGCCTGATGCTACCAGAAGCCATGAAGCCTATTTCAGCAGAGCTTGGAATAAGGCTGTAGAGTATCCCTACTCTACCTCTCCCTGGAGTTCTCTTTATCAAAGCTTGTACCAGTAAGAGGATGGAGGTCTCCAACTTCCAAAACGGCAGACATTTACTGATCGTATATAATGGTCTCTGAAAAGGTTAGAATTTCCAATTCTGAAGCCATCTGTTTACCATTCTAGCAATGATTATCTTTTTTTGGTTTTATTCACTTGAGACTGAGTCAGTTAATCAGCTTCCATGCATGTGATTTTTGGAAGTCAGCTACAGGTGCTCCTGTGACATGGAACATCAACTCCAGCCACAGCATATCCAATAGCTTTGTTTTCATTAGGGAATTTGAAGACAGGCCAACTGAGCTAAAAGCCCAGTCCATTTTTTCATAAATCTTTGTATGACAAACTAGTGAGGTTTCTTGAAAATTCACATGTTTTTCTCCATCTTTAGTTGCACTATCCTCTACTAGCCCTTGCCTCTAGTCGTGAAGTGCTGGTCACATATTTACTGCTTCATTTTAAAGATTTCATATTTCACCATGTATAATAATTGATCCTGATCATTGCTGTCTCTTCTTAGAAAGTAAAGAGAAAAAAGAATATGGAAATGTGACTATACTTTTTAATCTGAAGGAAGAGCAATCTAAAAAATGCAAGCTGAGGATACCCTCCTGTGCCCTTGGCTCTCTTTGGATGCTGCTGCACATTAAACCAGTGGGTCCAGAAAACTGTCATTGATGACTCCATGGGGGTCTTTTTTTGTGTGTTCCAACTGTAAGTTCCCATATCACCAGGACCGAATCACCTATGAATTTACTCTGTTTCAACAGTGCTGAAGAGTTAATTGCCAGTTACTCTAACAAATCACAGCAGCCAGATCAGAGTACTGCCCATGGCCTCTGAAGTCCTACCTGGTCTCCCTGGCTAAGCAGACAACCCTGTCTGTGATTATGTTTTCAGGCCCACTAGGACCTTAAAGGATCATCTCTCCCTTCAAAAATTTCCTGCTATCATTAAAGCAAAAAGAATTTAATAGAAAGGTCTTTGAATTCAACCTTTTACTAAAGTAATCAACAAGTGGCCTTCCCATGCTCCTAAGCGCAAAAGAAAACCCCACTCTTTTCTACACTTCCTGCTAAAGATGTACAAATGCAAATATTTCTTTGGGAAATTTTGCATTTCTTTATTTAGTTTTACCCAAATCATTGTGCTAATAGAAATAGATTTTTAATACAGGATGGGAAAACAACACAGGAGAAGCTGACAGGCTGCCAAGCACAAAATGAAAATAATTTTCTTTGAGCTGTGTATTTTCTGTGCAGTTTGGAGCCACATTGTTCAGGAAAAACAGGAATTTTTAAAAAATCTGGCTAGCTCGAATCCATACATTTGCTGAGTTAATCTGTGTCTACAACATGTCACAGCATGGCAAAAAAAGAAAAAAGGAAAAAGTAGGAAAAATAAAAAGTGAGAATAGAGAAAAATGTCTCTTAACTGTTAGGTGACCCCTCAGCATTTCCCATCAGAGACTACCATTACTGCTGTGTCTTTGTATGCTGTAAAACAGCTATGAAACTATCACTGTAGGGTTCTGTTTCTCTAAATCTTTTGCAACACTTACAGATAAAAACGTCTCCTGCTGAACCAGCTGAAAGCAAGGTCAAACTGGTTCTTATACCCTCTTGTCTGACAAAAATTCTGCAAACTGTACTTGCTAAAGGCCACCAACAGTGATGTGTAAATCGATAGCTTGGAAAGCATAAGAGCATCCATGATACACAGCACTGATTTGAGGTTTTTACAGGTTTCAAAATACTGAGTAGAAATAGTAAAACTTTAGGAGCATAAAAAAATTTTCTCTGTAGAGTACTCTAACATTTCCCAAAACCAGAAATAGTGGAATACATCAGGTAAAAACCTACAATGACTCAGCATGATTTCTAACAGAGATTGATTTGATAATGGAACATATATTGAAATGAAAGTAAACCAAGCACACGGAGTCTGATTGTCTCTAAAATTTAAGCTCTTTCCACAATGCCAAAATGCAATAACAAAAAAACCTACAAAGCAAAATTTTAGTGTCTTATTTCCATTTACCAAATGGATTCTCACTGTAATAAGAAATAATATATTTCAGCTGAGTGGATGGAATCCCATTTGGAAATCTGAGAGAGAGAAAGAAATGCCCTGGAAATCGATTAAAACAAGCTGGGCAGATAAGCAAGATTCAGGGAGTCTTAAAAATTAGATATAAGAGCTGGGTTTAACAAAGCTGGAATACTAAGACAAATAAAACAGCAGAGTACCAAGACAGGCGGTGAACGAAATAGAGACAGAAAGATAGGGATGGAAGTCAGAACCAGCCATAATCCCAGACCGAAATTATGGTGGAAAGTTTATTCTGCTCTTCAGACAAACTCAGAAGTGTTTTCTTGGTCTGAGGAAAAATAAAAGGGATACGAAGAAAGAAAATAGGAATGAAATACAAAACGTGAGAAAGAGAACTAAAATGAGGCAAGCAGGAATTGGAGAGTGCCTGTGGCACGTCAGTGAAAGAGGATTACTTAGTGGTTGCTATTTTCTGAATCTATATATTGAGATATCCACACACTATTCAAGCTTTAAGTTTAACTTGCACAGAGACAAAATTATAAACCAACCAGCAGATGGTTGCATTTTCAGGTAAACTTTTGGCAAGCGGAATGGATGGCAACAGTTTCAGAGTGCAGTTACAGAAATAACATGACTTTCTGCCCAAAACCAGTCAGCCTCAGAAAATGTTCTCACTTCCTTACGTGTAACAGATCATAGAGAACATAAAAGGTTTAAATTCCAATTTCATTGCAAAAATTGGGAACTAAAACTGTTTTACAAAAGAAATTTATCAGACTTGTGCAGCCATGGAAGTACAGAGCTCTGTCCGGATGGCTCCCTGAAATACAGGACAGATTGGAATACGCTGACAAGTTTAAATATAGACAACATTGCTTCCCCCTTTTAAAGTTATAATTATTTGAAGCAGTCTGTGAAAGTTATATGGAACAGTGATCTTTTTGACAAGAATCACCCATGTTTTGTGTTAATATAGATTATTTAAGAGTCCACAGAAGGCACAGGCTTCTTGAAGAACAAGGAAGTAAAATATTACTGTAAACTGTCACTGAAGTGGGCATGGAGAAGCCATAAAATTTTGAAGCATAATTTACTAGTGATGATAGTATATAATCTGATAAAAAAAATAATAATTCTATCCCTCAAATTATTCATAGTACTCTGTCTTAAAAGATCTTGGAAACAGAAAGCAGCTGAGTCTAACAGTTGAAAGGAAGCATCATTCATTTTATGATAGACATAATGAATTCTTAGCATCCAGTGAAACAAGTCTGCCTCTGACCATCAGTTCCATGAAAGGAAACTACTTAATTTCCAGTCAATACTAGAAGTTAGAAGCATGCAAACAAATTAAAAATCCCCTAAACACCTGTAGTGTAGATGAGAACTGTTGTATTAGCATTAGAAATATACCACAACAGAAAAAAAAGGTTTTGCTATCTTTATTCTACCTAATCATAATTAAAAATGGTTTTGAATGAGGCACAATAAGACAAAGGTTGGAGGTTCAGAACTACATATGCTGTGAGTTCAGGCTGCTCTCAGAGGAAGCAGAATGCCACCATCTCAGTGCTGTGATGAATGCAGCTATGGAAATCTTGTCATTTAAGCTCAAATCTTTAATTCATAATAGTTTTTTGACATTATAAATGCAATTATGTTATGGAGAGAGATCATCTCAGAAATATGATGAGACAGTCCCTGGGTGGTTTATAACCCACCAGACTTCTGAATTAAGGAAGGTCAAACAGCAATTTGCAAATAAGTAATTTCCTTTTCTGAGATTTCTACTACTTAAATAAAATTTAAAACCAGCTGTGAGTAGTAAACTGATAAATAGGAAATGTCAGCAACAAATATGATACACAAGGGAATTTCTTCAAACACACATCTCTAGAACTTTAAACTAGAAAGACAGGTAACAAAAGGCACAATTTCAAGAATTGATACTTCGAGTATAGCTCTTAACTATTTACTTGCAATTTCTTAAATTTTAAAACTAAATTATTGTTACTGAACTGTTTGAAATTTATGCTAAGTTCCCCAATAAAAATACTGAAACCTAATTTTAAGTCCCTTTTTCCCCCCCTAAAATTTACCCTTTATTCCAAATGGAAAACTTCACATATAGGTAAGACAGCACAACCTAAGTGAGAACAAGAACTTTTGTTAATTAAGAAAAACATCTTAAGGCTTCTAGACAAGAATTTTTCAGCTCTGCTTCCATTTCATGTACTGAGAAATAATCCATTGTTTGAACAAAGATTTCACCCTTTGTAAATAAGAGAGCTTTGAGGGTGAGCCTGTGTCAGTAAAACATCAAGTATAACCTCTGCATATTTGTGAAATCCACACCTTAGGTAATAGGAACCTGTGACAAGATCCATCTGAAAAGACTGACTTCTCTAAGCATCTGAATTTTCATGTATGCATGTATTTCAATATGAAATGTAAAAGTCTTATTATTCTAATTCCTAGCAGGACCTCAATTTAGAAATATTCTTCCCTGAGCTACAAAGTGAAAACAAAGAATAACACCTACATAAGACCTGCTTGGAAAAACATGAAATACATAAAAAACATTAATATAGTCACATTACTCAGTGATGGCTTGACAACTGACATAAAACATTCCAAACCAAGTAGAAATGCATAGACTTATGCTTTTGAAAGGATTTTAAGTCCTAAGTTAATGTTGAGGCCATTTCTACCAGTAAGCGTGAAGCAGATCTAAAGCTGATCACTGAAGAAAGAGCTACAGCCAAGTTAAGATACCTGCCCCCTTAGAGACAAACCACAATAAAAGACAGAAGCACTGATTCCTTTTATGGATGCCTAGATATGGAGAAAAAAAGAATGTGGCAGGAAGTGGAGGATGGAGAGTAGGTGAGTTGGCACAGCCACTGAAAGAAAAGTTTGTGGAATGTCTGTCTAAGTTTAATTTGTGATAAGGAACCAATAAATCTGAATGCAGACATAAGTCAGGTGAATTTCTGCTGCTGAAAGAAAAAAATCAAACAGTATAATCTGTCAGATTGACAAAACTAAACAAAAGAATACAGCAAAAAGTGCCTCACCTAAATCTCCATAAATCAGGAAGTTTCTCACATAGCAAGAGAAACCCTTATTTGTACTCTAAAGAATTTGAAGAATAATCTAAGTAGCCTTTACTGATGTCTAGAACATGAGAGGAATCAGCATCAGAAAATGGTCATGAAAACCATTTTTGAGTTATGAAAAAAATGCAAAGAAACAAAAATTGCTTGACCTGTTTCACAAGAACAGAAATGTGTAAGTTGCCATATGGGAGAGGAAACAGTAACTTCTCAAGAGTTATAAAGCATCCAGAGCTGCTGGCCCAAAAGCATGGAGCTGGGAAGACAAAATCTGTTTTAAACATCCTGACCTTGGAAAAAGCATGTATCTTTACATTGTAGGAAAAAAACTGAGTTACCTGGTCTTCAGTAAGAAAAAGAGGATTGTAAAGTAGGTATGGCTACTTATAAAGGATTTTCCACATCTCAGTTTGAAGAAACCTGAGAAAGGCTCATGGACATCTTGCTCACAGTATTATAAATCTCTTATCAGGTGTAAGAGATAGTATGGACCACCAATAGTACACAATGGGAAATATGCAGTAAAAACCAAAACAGGAATAAAACTAGGCTGCACTCACTTTCTGCAGAGCATCCTCTGGCACTCACAAACTTATACTTGAAATAAAAGGAAAGCTGATGAGTGATCTGAGAATTAGTTACAGTTTGGTACTAAGGGAGAGCAAAGTATGAAGAGAGGATGCAGATAAATGTGCAAAAACCAGAGTGTAATGGTCTAAATGGTCGGAACAGTGGTTCAGACATGGTTCTGAATAAACTAAAAGAATAAAAGCAATGCTGTGGAATAAACAGCAGCTCTGCAGGACCGCAGCGCTGCACCAGTGCAGGTTGGGCACTTCTGTAACAAAGGGTGGGCAGCTACTGGGGATCACAGATGGAGCACAAGCCAATGTTATACTGCTGTAAAAATACAAGTATCATGATATACAAAAAGCAGTGGGATAGCTAATATTGGAAGAGACAGCCAATGGCAATGGTGTAATTTTCATTACAGGAGCTAAGCTGATAGGAAGTGACTTGACATCCTGTTTGGGCTCATGAAAAAGTGTGTACACTTCCCATGCTTCTGTGAGAAAGGAAAAAAGGTAGGAAATTGCAGGGACAACATAGATCATCTGACTTATTAAAGTGAGTAATTCATAAAGTTCATGAAAAATCATACACTGAGAATGAAATACAAAGTGAGCATTTAGACAAGAAAACAAGTAATTCAGCTGAAAGCTGGCAATCCAACAAGGGGAAAAAAGAAATAACAGACAGAGGAGATACGAAAACTGCAGCAATTCAAGGTGATACCTTATGCATTAAAATAAGAAGATGGAGAGAGATGTGTCTCAAGAACAGCATTACTTTATCAAGGTATACTGCAACTAATCAAAAACATCAAGTCATAACCTGGTTAGGAATAAAATGTGTGGAGCACACTTTAATTATTGCTCAGTTACAGTAACTTCAATCTTTTCTTTTACTAGCAGTGAAATAATTAATATTTTGTTTTCTAGCTTTTTATAAAGCACTATTAAAAAACTCCTGTGAACAATAAAGTAATTAAAAAATTCCAAATAATTTATCAATTGGGATCTCAATCTCAGTTCTATTTGCAGTATTTCAAAGAAGTGATTTTCTCTTAAAGTTGTACCTTAGAAAGGTTCACAGTTCATTGGTAGTACATATCCCTTACAAATATATTCAGGTACAGGTCTATAAACCATACATTTCCATAAAACTGTATTTGGTAAAAACCATAATTTCGATTTCCAAACATTTTCTTCTGATTTATTTTAAAATATATAATAAATTTTTTAAAATAAGTACGAAGTAAACATTGTTAATGAGGACTCCATAAACTTGCTTTACTGCATTATACACCAAGAACACCATCATATTTTATACTTCATTGAAAACATGAAGCACGACACCAAGCTGTGATGCTGTTCTGTGTGCATGTGAATGCAAAATGCTGCTCTTAAAATCTTGAGCTTCCCATATAAAGCATTTTCCATTCAGATACATCCATATAATTAGTTGTTGATTACTGCAAAAATATCTGTCTTAATTAGAACCTGAAGGCTGTCAACAGCTTTCAGAAACACTCAGTTATGCTTGGGAACACCCAAGGCTCAAGGCCATTTTAGAGGGCCTTTCATTCTCATGTTGACCACAGGAAACACCAGAGAAAAAAAGGCTTATGAAAAGAAAATGGTGCCCTTAAAACATGACAAAAATCATATTTCTATTAAATTAATATACAGTTACCAAATGAACACAAGGAAAAAGGAACATAAAAAATGAAATATGATTTCTAACAGCCACCAAATGTTAACCTACATTTGAAACAGAATTTTAGGTAACTTAGTAAGAATTAGCACCACCCTGTATAGTCCTGAAAACAAATGTTTAGGCTTTTTCCTGAAATACTTTAAAATAACAAAAAACACTTCTATTAGTCTCAAAGCTTATTTAAACAATACCTTTAAGGCACAATTGTGTAATCATAGCAAACTTAAAGGACCCTGTTAGTGAAAGGATAAACAGTGAATAAATACGTGGCATTATATTTGGCTTGAAAATCTGTAGAAGATTTCAAATCATCAAAGGTCAGACTAAAACTATCCTTTGATGAACAAAGGAGGAATTAGGGAAGGAAAATCTACCCAAGAATACATGCAAACAACAGCTCAGTCATTTAAATTTCCCCCCTCAATTCTGGAATCAGAATCTGCACTTTTTGAATGTAACTAACTGATGGTTCTAGTTTAAGACACTGACAAATATGTGATGAAAGAAAAAAAGCAGCATTAGCTTTAGTATATAAACAATAGAGGAGTGCAAACTAAGGCACAGTACACAGGTCTCTATGAATTAAAGCACCTTTTTTGAATAGGACTATTTTCCCAGAGCTCAACACCAAAATGCGGAAGTGTCTCAGCATAATTAACCTGTTCCGTGACAGTCAGACTACATTCATACTTAATTTACAAGTTACATCTTCACAGGCTGTGTTGATTGACCTCTATCCTTTTCTATCTAACAGCAACTGAAGCTCTGCTTTAAGGCTGTAAACTCTTCAGAGAAAAGAGGATTTTAAAAAGGATATGTATTGTCAGATTTTCAAAAGTGCTGAGCAGGCCTTGAAAAACTGCTATTTTCTCTTCTAGAGAAAGACTTAAGTAGAAAGATGGAAGCTGGTCTTTATTTATATAGTATTACCAGTTCCCTAAAGAAAGCTGAAAATTTTGCTCATTTCCTCAGGACTGAGGACAAATATGAAAGCGTGAGTATGAGTTCCTCAGTTTTGGAAGAGAAAAAATTAAAAGATGATAACAAAACAATACTGAATAAAATGACAAAAAAGCCCCAACTTGGGTATAAAACTAGGTATATAAATGCTACATAAAGGCTTACTGATCATGGCACTAAACTACACACAGTTCCTAGCAGGTAAAGGAAATTAAAGATTTCAGAGTTGAGTTCTTTGAAAGAAGTCTATCATTCAAAGAAGCAAAAGTAAAAATCCTTAGCTGAGAACCCTCAAAAGAACATAAGGAACAGCATAGCCTAAGGCAATATGTAAATAACTACAGTTTAGAAGTAAATAGCACCCAAAACTTTTACACTCTACACTAGATCACGATATGAGAAAAAGAAAAGGGAAGAAAAGACTGTATGTAATTGCATTTGGCAAGTAGAATTCCAGAGTGTAAAACAAAATAGAGCATTAAACTGTGGTATTGAAGCTGCTGTTGTTGCATTATGGGGAATAAGGCAATAGACCATTAAGTTCATTAAATGAGTCAGGATTTATTGTACATGTATAGTCAACTATTTATCAAGTCTACTTTTCTGCTTTTATACATCTGCATTAAAAATGGCCCACTTATGAGAACAGTCATTCATTTCATACTCTTCCTACATTTCTATTAATGTTCTTACTTTGCTTAATGTCTGACTGTGAAAAAGTAACCTGTTGTCTGGCAACTACAGTTCTGAAAATTTCTATTTGCTTACTCTGCATCACAGGTGAAACTTATTTTAGAGCCAAGTAACCCTCCAATGAAAAGCCTTTGTGAAAAGAGCTTTCTCAAAATCAACAGATTTAAAGGCTGTTACAATGTCTCTTTTGCACTTTACCTAACCTATTATTTTAAATTTGTCCCTAATTAGGAGTGTAGAACATGCTCCTTCATGAAAGAGAAAGCTGAATAGCCCTGCTAAAGACAATCAATTTTGTCACAAGATCATTGGTGTGAGGCTGTCTTCCACAGCAGTAGAGAAGTGATTGCCATTTGTACCCTTATCACTACTGGATTGCACTACCCTATGACAAATACTCAACGATACTGGAATATTAAAGCTATACTAATATAGATGTGTAAAAAAGAGTTCACAAAATTTCCCCCCCAATTTTAGAGAAAATTTATGGTAATGGGGAGTCAAGCTTAAGAAAAGGTTTATCTGTAATATTAACATCCTTGTTATTTTATGTGCACAACGAAGAGATCAATTAAACTCACAAAGTTTCATAGCTAAGATTCTTAACTCTTGCAGTCAACTTTGAAATGACTATAAAAATTAGCAAATTCTCATTTCAAGTACTGCACTAACTTGATTTCATTAAGATAGCATTTAAAAACCACATTTAAACATGATGAAAAATTAAAACTGAAAATTCATATTCTCTGCCGAAAAATCTGACAGGTTTCTGTTCTAAAACTCCAGGCTACTTGAAGAAAAGCCAAACTGTAAGGGAGAAAATGAAAAAGTTCACTTTAGATGAAGAAAATAGCCTAACTTCAAGTGAATGGAATTATTTTTAAAAGCTTTTCTATGCAAAAGTCCCACCCTGATATGAAGGGCAAGTGAACAGGTAGGTGATGTCAGCACAGCACTGCCTGCTACCAAGAAGGTCCACAGCCTCCTGTGCATCTGTTTAAAGTCCACATCCCCTGAAGCAGATTTTTAAACTATTCAGTACACTGTAAGATCATAAAATGAAGTATTTTTCAGTGTCCCAGTTTTATTGTTGGATAACAGTTTCTCTTATTTTAGCTTGGCTTTCTTGAAGCCTTTTGGCCCAGTCCAAAGCACATGAATGTGACCTTTAGTGTTACAAGGAAAAAGAGTGAACTGCTCTCATGAAAAGAAGACATAAATGCTTTCCTAAAAACATGCTTATGTAATTTTCTTTGCCACCATAGAGAATAACAGTGTTTCAGTGTTGCTGAAGAGATTAAAATGGCCAGAACATAGATTTACAGTAAAAGGGAACTGCTCCTCAACACATCAAATGCATTGTTGAAGCAACAGTTCAGAAGTAGTAAGAAATATCATATGTATCTACCAGCCACCTTATCTTGAACACAACAGGTAATGTGAAAAAGTGATTAACTCTCTTCTGTTGCTACAATGAGTACATGGTTGCTTGATACTGCCCTGACCTGTAAGAACTCAATTGCTTTATTCCCGCTTGTACATGACAGTGAAAACTGAGTATACATAAAAATTTGGTAACAACATTCTGCCTACCTGCTACAATGCTTCACAATAAAATAGCATCACAAACCCTGTCTTTTTCAAGAACATTTGGTAAGACCCCAAGATCAGTAAAACTTGAAGAAAAACTTCAAATATTGACCATAAATGTGCATATAACAACATTTCAAGCATGACAACAGAACAATGATATAGTTTATGGTACCACATCAACAAAAATACAATCCAAAGAACATATGAACGAATAATGATGTTTTCATATGCATTAAAGTTCCAGATGCAGGAATTATGTTTAAAGTCACATGCATGCACAGCTAGAAATCATGTTCCTTCTTTTTGGGCAGTAGCTGTACTCCAACTAAAAATGGTTGTATGATTTCCTTGGCTGGTGTGGAGAATACACAATGTTGAATCAATGTGCCAAAACAAGACATCATTTCTGTATCAGACAATCCCCTGGTAATGCAACAGTACCCCTAAAAAAGATTTGGGGTTACAAGTGTGGAGAAAATCATCATTCTTTGTCTATTAACATTTCCTTTATCAATGAACTTTCTGTCATACCCTTTCTAAAGACAATGATAGATATGAGAAACTATGAGCAAAAGGGAAAATAACAAAAACTGTAAATGAAATAATGTAAAATATCAAAATAGTTATCAGATTTCCTAAAGATCCAAAACTAAAGGAGGAAAGTTATCAGGTAAATAAAATTGAGTCCCAATTAAAACTAACATGAGACCAATCACAGTAATAGGTCTTACACTGCTGTAGAAACAAAATGTTTACAGATAAATAGAATTGGAATGTAACATTTTCTCAATGAGTTACAAGGATGAGAGAGCTCTTTCTTCATTTGCAAAATAGAAACAGATACATGCTACCCATTTCCTTTTCTAGTTCTGTTTTTTTACAGCAATCTTGTGTGAAGGCTTGATCTTCTTCAAAACAAGTTATTTATGTTAAGCTTGGCCCCAAGTAAGTGAATTAAAATACAAAATAGTAGTCAAAGATAAAAGAATGTTGTATTTTGGGAAAGCAGGGTTACACCAAATGAGCTAAATATGAAGAATTCTATATTATTACATGAAGTACAAAAGAAATAACGCATACAAGAGCCGTAATACTGTTTATACTACAACTTAAATTAACTTTTCTATTTATTATCAGAGATCCTTTTCTACAATACAGAATACAAAGGGGGACTTATGACTTTGATATTTTGAATAGGGTTTTTTTTTTGGGCAGTGTATCAGACTAGCTAATACAATATTGTTTCTACAAATGAAAACTTCTGCAGTCGTTTACATCACATTGCAAAAGTTTTATTTTGTGAATATTTCACACCTTAGTTATTTTGTTGAAATGAGTTGAGACTTCTGTTTAAGATCTCTTCACCCAACAGAAGAAATAATAGTACCCTCCTTCTGAGTAATATAATGGCCTTTCTGAGATCACAGTTGTATTACAACGTATTATAAATATCTAGCTTTAAAAATTGATTTAATTTCACACTAGCCTAAAAAGATTCCAAGCCAAGGTATTCAGCATAGTAACTGTATATTGTACTTGTCAAGAATAATTCTGCATTTGAAATCATTCTGTAAGGATCCAATGTGCAAATCCCTTAGAGTCAGCAGATTTCATCTGGCATTGAATAGATACTAAAACGGATCTCTGAATGAATAATTCTCAAAAGTACAAAGTACTATCTTTTACTGTATAATTATAAAACCATTACAGATTTGCAATTGAAATCATTCAATGACAATTTTTTAAAGAACAGCTATATGCTAATAACACTGAATTTATGCGTCATTTTAGAATTTACCCTTCCTCACAATATGAGAAACGACACAATGGAATGAGATTCTGTTCCTTTTGAAACCAACAGCCAGTTTTGACTGACTTCAGAATGTCAGAGCTTGATTTCTTTCTGTCTGAACTATATTAGCTTATTGGAGCTGAAAGAGTGGTATAAAATATTATGCACATTTTAAAATTGCACTTTCTGCATTATTCTGATGTTATATACTGTTTAATTTCATAGCTTATCTGAAATTCAAATGAATGACATGCATAAAAAAAAAAATTCAAAGTGCTTAGTTGTTTGACTTCTCCAATTCCTTAAGATTTCAATTTCAAGATGAAGCGGGGAACAGGAACTTACCTACTTGGTACTTTGGGTAATAAGGTGCCATTTGTCCACTACTGCATGATTGTCTCTTATGCCTTTTTCTTAAATTTGTATCAGTGGTCTCCCATTGTGGACTTTTTCTTTTGTTTATTCTGATAAGAACTTCAGAACTACCAGCAGGATTATCGTCCTGGTTTACACTACTATTTAACTTTCTGCTGTGAAACTGGTCATCCAGCCTTTCAGTCACTTTAGAGGAATTAGATCCTTTAGATGTTTCCATTTCATTTTCTTGTTTCTTTAATGCATTTTGCTTAGTAGAATGGGACCTTAAAAGAGGATGTCTTTTTTCTTCCATATAGGCCTGAGTGCTTTTACTCTCAACAGCTTCAGGAGAATAAATGACATTATTTAGCTTAAATGAATTGTGCTGCTCAATATGGTTGATTTTTCTCAGAAATATCCTACAGTCTTTAAAGGTTTTGGCTTTCCAAGTATTTTGAAACAGTTTATCTTGGCTTTGTTCTTTTCTAACATTTTGCTGGCAACAAATTGTTCCATTCGTCTCTGGATGTGACTTAAGTATGTTTGCTATACCAGGATGTGGGTTAAAGTCAGACGATCCCATCATCTGTTGAACAAATGCATCTCTGGCTTCATTTTCAGTTGGCAAGAGGCTTTTCTGAGACTCTAACAAAGTCTGAGCGGGCTGGATTTCTAGCATATTTTTTTCCTGGAGCTTGGGTGTTTCATCATTGGTTTCCCCACTTGTACTTTTAAACAATTGGCTTTGGCAAAATAACTGCAAATTTTTCTTTTTTGATTTCCAGCCTCCAGGAGCTGCATTATAGAGCTTTTTTGTTTGTCCCCAACTATCACGCTGCAACTTTTTAAATTCATTTCTTTTTAATCTGGCTAATGCGAAATTACTTTTCATGTTTAAGACTGGAGACCTCACTATGTTATGCAATATTTGCAATTTCCCTGCTGGTTTTGAAGGGGAGGATAGTGCAAACTTTTTAAAGTGCTTTCTGAAAGGGCAAGTACTAAGATCAGATTGTTTAGTTTCTGTCTTTGTCTCTCTAGTACTAACTACTTCTAAGGGATTGCGAGCATTTGCCTTTCTCACTAGAGAGAGAGACTGTGTTTCTGTAGTTTGCATAAACCAGGTGCAGAGTTCATTCATATTATACTTTTTCTGAAAAAGCATTTTTACAGGTGATGTTTCAAGTTCTACAAGGCAGGAGTCTAAAGGGTTTGACATTTCAGTATTACAGTCTTGTTCAATGGGATCCCTTTTTTCACATACACATTTATCAGACTCACTTCCCCCCACGCGCAACCAGGTATTAGTTATCTGTTCAAATCTATTATTTAGTTCTTCCAACAAAGTGTCACTCGAAGTGGAAGTAGGCCACCACCTGAGAGAGGGATTTGATGAAAATATGGGATCTGATGATACTTCATTAATGCGTCCGAATTCATCATCCTTAAGATCCTTTTTAGCATTTCCCAAATTTCTCAGCTCTGAGGTATCTTTGGATGCTGTGCTCTGATTTGATTGCGCACGTTTTTCCTTTCGCTCTTTAGCTTTTTTCAAATGGAGTTTATAAGACTTATGTAGTAAGGCACTTCTACAAGTAAATGCACTAGAAGATGCTAATGAATGTAAAAAATGCAGTGAGGGTTTTCTGTCTCTAGCAGAATGTCTTGATGGAATGTCACGTTTTCTTGACATTGCTGCAGTAACATTGGGTGATCCATCTTCTCTAGAATCTTTCTGCACGTTCTTTACTTGACCCATATTATTGCACAGTTGATTTTTTCTCTCCTGTGGTGTGTTTTTTTCTAACACATTTTGCTGTTGTAAAGGAGGCAAACCGTTGCTAATGCTCACTTTTCTTTCCTGAGGTGAAAGTCTACTAACAGTCACTGATATGCCAGAAATTTTTACTTTTGCTGGCCTACCAGGTTTTCGAACGGTGGTTAATGGTTTCTTAATCTGCCGAATGACATTGCTGCAAGGATGTGGCGATGCTGGGTTACTCTTGATAGGTCTGACATAGTCATAACCAGAGACCTCCTCCTTTTCAGTAGCAGGATTCTGAAAGGCTTTTACTATTTCAGTCAAAGCATTTCCAGTTTCTGTATTGTGCCTCACTTTGCTGGGGTCATTGGCAAAATTAGAATCAATATGTTGTGTGGGCAGCACACTAATCACATTTAGATTACCTTCAGAAACATGTCTCTTTGTTCTTCTTGACCTTCCAAAAACAACTGTCACAGTAATATTTTTGTTGCTGTTAGCTTCTTCCAATACTGCTGCATCAGACTTGATGCTTTTACCACCACTGCCAAGTTCAGGTCTAGCTTTTGTGCTTTCATTCATATCCATTTTTGGTTTTGGAGGCCGTCCAATAGGTCTCTTAACCTGCTTAACTACTTGAGGACCTATTTTCTTTGGTCTACCGGGTTTTCTTTTTAAAACCAATTCACTGCTACTGCTTGATTTCTCCACAATTTCATCATTTTTTTTCAAGTCATTTACGTTAGTCTGACCAACTGGACAAGAGCTTGTAATTGCTTCTGCATAAACACAACTTGACTCCTCCCTGGTATCATTTTCACTGCAATCACAGTCCATGACACAGACTGCATGAGAAAGGTCTCCTGTGGCCTGTTTGTCTAACGAAGTGTTCGTGTGCCCTTGAAACAAACAGAGATCTGTGCTTCCTTTAGGAGATGCAGCTGCAGATGTCAAAGTGTATTTGACTCCTTCATGACTATTGACCTCTGAGACAAACATAAGCTTAACAGGACTAGAGTAGTTTAAGGGAGATGAGATCTCCCCAGCTTCAGGTGTTGCATCCAAGTCCCCATTATTGGAATTTGAGCTGGAAGAATTAAAAGTCAGAGATTTCAAAAGGCCATCATTAATTTCTTGATCTATAACCATTTCTTGTTTGTTTGTTGTGACACAAATTGCTCTGATTTTACTGCTGCTTGGCACATGTGAATGTGAAAGGAAGCTTTGTCCTGTGCATCCCATTTCACTCAGAGTGAAGGGTAAGCCCCTTCTAGCAGCTGGGTTCATAACCTGTTCGTAAGCATTATCTTTTAATTTTTGGCTTATTTTGTAACTATCCAATAATGAGTTGTTACTCTTTCTGGCTAAGTTTAATGTATCTTCTAAACGCTCCACAACAACTTGCAGATTTGTGTCTCTCACAATTTTGCTTATATTTATGTCACTGCATCTTTCAGCATCTTCATTTATTTTAATGTTTTCCAAACTTTCTAAGGACTTTTTTGCACTGGATGATTTTCTAAACATGATATTGTTTGTTACATACACAGAGTACCATCCAGGAGGTACAACGTTACGTTTAGTTCTGCCCAAGATTTCATTACTCTCATCCTTTAGAGGAATCTGACCAGTCTCTTGTAAGGGTGCACCATCTCCTTGTGTATTTGGGAGTTTTGCCTGGTTGGCTGTAATAGCACTGTTTTCTGAAAGAACTAAAAAGCCAGAGTTGGTTGGAAAATTAGTAAGAGGTAGTTTGAAAGACTCTGTTTGGTGTACTGGAAAGCACATTGGTTTGGTTTGGCAATTCACACATGGGTTGCTTTCAAGATGTTGCAAAGCCTCATCTTCTATCACAGTAAAACTATGTCTTTTATTTGGATGTATTTTATCGAATTTTTTTGTAGATTTCTTTGCATTTCTCTCAGAAATTGACTTTTTTCTCACAAGAGTTTCATCAAGGCTTGCAAGCTCTCTCTTGATTTGCAAAGACTGTCGTCGAATGACTGGTGAATCAGGAGAATTATATGTTGCAAATAAAGTTTCCTGACGCTTGCGAAATCTTGTCTGGATGATTTTATTTTCCATTTGTTTATCGTGTTGGCGAAGTAATTCCATAAAGCTGTAATCACTTGCCTTAGCATTATGTAAAAGAGACGTTACAAAGTCTCCCAATTTGACATCATTTTCTGGTGCCCTGTCACTGCTAGAAAGTTTTACAAGATTTGTTGCTATATCTGTAGTGTCTATTGATTTCAGCTTTTCATTAATGCGGTCCATTAAACCTTGAAAAATGGCAGAATGTTCACCCTGCTCAGACTTCTCAGAACTAATGTAATCATCACTGCTTTGGGTGTCTATTGACATCCATGTTCCATCTGAACATTTGGTCTCTTTTCCTTTGCGTGTTTTACCTCCATATTCAAATTCTTCTTTGCTTCCTTCAGCTGGCAGGAGGGATGGAGGCTGGTTGATGGATATTTCAAGCTTGTTGTTGTCTAAAGTTGGAAAATCCATAACCGATCCTTCCGATGATTCAAATTCTTTGCTGTGTACAGGTGACAGTGGAGGTGGTGATGGGCTGCGAGATCTATTTGCATTTTTAATGCTGCTTAAGAGATCACAGTCCTTAGTTGAGTAAGTACATGCTGCTGCTTTCACAGAATGCCTGTTATAATTTTGCAATTGGTCAGCACAATACTTAGGAGAACTACATGCTTTGTTCACCATTGTCTTAATACATCCAATCGTTACAGCTTGGCATGACAAAGAATGGAAATCTTTAATACAAACAGACAGAGGTGGTAAACAAGTGTTTGGCCTTTGATTTTGTAAACAGCACCTTTTCGTCAGCACATGTCCATCGCAACTGCAAAATGAAACGTGAACATCCTCTTCAGTAAGGGAACTGGGAGTTTCAGAGTGGACCAAATGTGTTTGCTTGCAACTGCAAACTATAGGAACATTTTCGTCTTGTATTAAGAATTTTAACATAGCCAGAGTCTGTTGCCAGTGATATGAACAAAAAGACTCCAAAACTTTGTTTAATGTTGATTTTCCTTTCTCCAAATTAGCTGTTTCCTCTGAATTTGCATCAGCTGTTGAGCTTGAACTGAAAATGAAAACAAATCAAAACAAAATATAAATTACAGTAAAACACCACATCTAATGGTTTTTATAATGGTTAAACTCAAACCTAAAAACCCGAAGTTTACAAAACAGTTCTGCTCTATTTGCACTATTCAATCACACTTGCAAGTGTCACTAGCAATGATGTGCACCTTATCAGTGACAGCACTACCATTAAGAAAAATAATCAGGAAGAAATTAGGGGCAAAAAGAACTATATATATAATTACAATAATGTTAACTTTCTGATATTTCAAACTATTTTAGCCGTTAATGAAGGAAAACCTTATCAAGAACCTGGTGAGCTTCATATTACTCCCATTTCACTAACTGAGGCACAGAGAAGGTAAATGACTAAGGTCAAGGTTGTGGCAGAAGAAAGAATGGATCCATCTCTCCCAAATCCCACTCTCAGATATTTAAATATCCAAGTGTATTGAGTGCTTTTCAGGATACACTTGAAGATATTTCTAAGGACATTTTCATTTCTCTATTTATTTTTAAAGAATACCTAACGAGTTAACAGAAAATGGGAAAAACAGCCACTTGCTACTGTTATTGTTCTTTGAAGGTAAAAGTTTGACTTCCAGTTTTCAAATAAATTGCAGTGGTGCATCACTGGCTCTTCATTGTAATATATTACACACACACACACACACACACGTGCGCGTGCATACACACACACACACACACACAGGTTCCTTTGTTAAACAAAAACAGAGAATAAGTAACTTCTGTGATAAAGGTTAATACCCTTTAAATCTCAAATACAGGGTAGGCCTATATCTAGACAGGACTTTTGAGCAGTTGTTCTCAAAGATATTAACTAAAAATAAAATAACTTATAAAATACTATCTTAACTATTTAATCAATTTCTTATAAATTATTAAAACTAATGTCACTACTTACCTAATCAATCATTTATATTGAAAAGCTGAAAATTTTCCATGGTAGAAATTAATACAGGTATTTCTTCAATTAAATACAAAATCCTTATGCTGGATAGCAACTATCAACAGATAGTTAACACCTAGTTCAAATGTTTTACTGAAATCAATTGCATGAGCAGAAAATGTTAGAAGAATTCTGTTTTAGAAAAGTATATATTATTTAAACATATCACCAAACTCTGAACATGACACTAACTTTTTTCCCTATTATCCCCTGTAATTTTTTTCGCATTTAAGCCTATAATTTGAAAAAAATTCGTTTTGATTTGGTTTACAACTATATTGATCAATGAACGAACATATTTAAAATTTGATGTGCTGTATTTATATAAAGTTACCTATTCATTAATTAACACATATCCAGAATTATTACATCAATAATAACTTTTAGCTTCAAGTATCTTAATAGAAATTATTACATACAAATTTGTATTTTTATTGTCCTACACAGATTTTAAAGTTTAGAGCTTAAAACCAGCCAACACTACATAATAATTCTTTGTGTTTTTTCCTTCTCCTGTAATATTCTGTATGAAATGGTATATATTCAAAATCAAGCATCTAGGTGATACTAACTCATAAAAGTGCAAGATAATTGTGCTGGTACTAGTTGAAATTGCAATTATGTTTAAACTGAAATCATTAAGTCTTAAAATCCTCTTTGCACCTGCAATCTAAAGTAGAAACAGCATTATTCAAGGGAATGTCATTGTCAGGATTTAACTGTTTTTGAAATACCACTACTTTGAGAAGAGTCTGACTTACTCTTAACTAATTCAGGAGTCACAAGGTGCTGAAATGTATCAACACTTGTGAAAATGTAGCTTATTCTAGTAATACAATAAAGGATAAAAAGGATTGCCCTCCCCACCACCACAAGTTTAATTAAACAATGTTTTGAAAGGCCAACTAGAAAAATTAACATGGCACCAGGTCTTCATCTTCAATATTTTGTTTGTATATCAAGAGTAAATTTTTTAAGTACTAATTTGCTAAAGATAGCTACAGTACAGTCTTTTTTAAAATGAATCTTTACACAGGTACCTTTCTGTCTGTCTAGACTTGCAAGGTAGGTCTATAGTTTCACTGGAGAGCTTTAATTGTAGAGAACCTGTATCCATAACTGCTACTTAAAGTCTGTTCAGTGGTGAAAGAAACTTCTGGAGCCCTACAACCTTCTCGAAGTCAGAAATCTCAAAGATTTCCACAGGCCTCAAAACTGTTTTGCATTTGCTACGTGAAGATTAACTTGTTGTATAAAGGAATATCCTGGTTACCACAGACATACTGGACATTTCTCTAAAACAAAATCTTTCCTGGTTATCTACCCCTGTGTGATGTCTGTGATCTGCTTTCCCTTAGTGTGAGTTAGTTTCTAAAACTGACAGACAACTTGACTTCACCTGTTCTATTGCAATAGTACCACACTCCACACGATCTTCCAAGTTTGTGGAAACACATCAAGCCCTTACTCAATCACCATCTGGGAGCAGAGCTTACTACACAAACAAGTTCAAGCATTAAAGCAATACATTTTCCTTGAAGTGTCTTTCTGAAGAGATATCAATATATTTAAACAAACTAATTATTAGTAGCTTTTCAATAAAACTATGGAATTATACTTCAGTCTCCTGTAATTCTTTCCTACAGTGCTTTAAATTTGCATTGTCATACAGTAGTTTAGACTATCCTCAGGATAAAAGGCTTAAACAATAATTTCATATAGGGAAGAGCTATCACTTTCACAACTGCACACTTCCCTAACAGAACTGCCTTACACCTCCTCCAAATCACAGACAGAAAGATGGCTGGAGAGAGTGCGAAGGAAACGGAGGGGTTGAGGTGAGAGGACCAATATGCACTGCTCCCCCTGTACCTTTGTGCAAGGCATCACTGCAGACAAGGGTTAACACGGAATGACACTATTTCCTTTCTGGAGGACAGGGGCAGTTAGTGACACAGAGTGAGGACTGGCTGGAGTCCAAAATTGGCACAAAGGTGGTGACATGATAAGGTTCATTACCAGCCTTTTAACTTACTATTTTATGCATAGAAGAAGTAAAACTTTGCCTGCTCCACAAAAACTATCAGCAAAGAGCTCTACCAGACGACTCCCAAAAGAGGTCCTTCCCTAGAGGTCTGTCTTCTGTCATCTTGAGCCAGAGATAAGATAGATCAATCTAGCAAGTTCTTTACAGAGTGAGAACAGGAACAAAACCGGAACAGAAAACATACTTTCAAGTACTCATACGAACGGCATAAACTATTATAGAAATATAAATCTAACAGAAATGTTTGTTTTCTGACTTTACTAAGTAAATAAATACCTCAAAAAAGCTATATCTTATCCATAATGTATAATTTTTAGCTGCAAACTAAAGGGGGTAACTGTTAGAAAATTAGTTCTCTGAATTTTTTCTCCTTAATGAACAATGAATCAATCTGAGAAAAGAAACCATCTTTCCTTAAAGCTACTATTTCTGATGAAATTCTCATAGTAAATTAGTAATTATGTGCTTAATTTGTACAGTTCTTGATCTTATGTCACTGCTAATAAACTTGTGCCTCAGGAATAAGTCAAATAAGTCAGTGTACAGGTTTTTGTTTCTTTCTTTTTTTTACTGAATGAGCAAATCAATCACACATCAGTGTTGTAAATTTATGTGCAAAAGCATTGAAGTGCTTTACTACAAATTACAACGTAGAAACACGTTAACTAAACAATTAAATTCATACAATCAGATTTAGGAATATAACAACACAAAGAAGAAACAGAATTACAGTACATTTACAACACAAGACAAATACATGGAATTCATTAGAAAATATTGTAATAAATAATTCATGAATTATAGTGCAATTGATTTATGCATAAATATAACTAATTGCCTAAAAATCAGTTGTTAACAAAAATCTGTCAAAAATCAAGGCAGCCACAGAGTTTTACTAAATTACTGCGACAATGGAAATACTGCAATTAAAAAACAAATACAAGTATTTGTACTGTAAACAACTAAAAAAATCAGTCTCACTAAAGTTAATATACAATTTAATATAAAATTGTCATTAGCTACCAGAAATGGTTTAAACAGCTTTACTGAGCAGTAGTTCTAAAAACAGAGGCACTGTTTTTTAATATAAAATACTTGAGAAACATTCAAATAAGTAGAAAGCATGTAGGGCTTGCTTTCGCCTTCATTTAAAAGTCTGCTGAAACAGGAATTTTCAGAAATTGTCAATTACTAAGTAGTGACTGGTAACTGAATTTATAAAACAGTTCAAAATGTATAATTTAAATGACAATTAATGAAATACATAGGGGTTGGGGAAGGAGAATTTACACATTTCCCTGCCTTTCCTTAGTTGTGTAATTAAAGGTTAGCCTAATAATTAGAAACAAATAATTCTGTTCCTTTAAACACTTACAGGTTGAGTATCATCTATAAACTATCAAAAAATATTTTAATTACTATTTCTGACCAAAAAATAAATACAAGTACTAAAATGTTGAAAATTAATTATAATATTACATACAAAACTACTGAGTACTGTTAAGTCAATAGTAAAATGATCCCTGATTTTATGAATCCTGTTACATTTTTGGTCAGGTCATCTTTTAAATGATATAAAAAGAGTACTGTTACTTGCCTTCAATATAAAGTTCTGACTCAAATTTCTAACATTGTCTGAGGAGTAGAAAACATCAGTATGGTACAAACAGTAGGCAATGTATTGAAGCCCCAGATTTTTGCAAGTAAAACTGTAAAAAGACAGATGTTGAAGCATTTACGTTTTTTCAACTGCATTTTTCAGTGGGGATATATTCACAAATTATTCCTTCTGGTCCTCACAAAATATGGCTTAATTCTTTTAAAATGAAAGATGACCCTGACACCTGCTCTTCTGCAAACTCTTTATCAGGTACACTTCTGCTTAAAATCTTAGAATCATAGAATCTGCTGAGTTGGAAGGGACCCGTCAGGATCATCGAGTCCAACTCCTGGCCCTGCACAGGACAACCCAAGAATCACACCATGTGCCTGAGAGATTCATTCTGTAATATGCAAGTAAACCTTAATGACTGAAGGAGATTCAGTGTAGATCTGAGAGACCAAAGAACTGAGATATTGGTTGTGCAGTTTCAAAGGATTATTCTGTTTTAAAATGGAAGTCGTTATTTTTTTAGTAGCGTTAATAGATACGGGCTAGATTTTACCATCAGTATTGCAGTATGTTCTCCACTGAATTTAATGGCAAGTTTATCTATAAATAAAATTACCTGATGTGGCCCATATGTATCCAATGTACCAATTCATTTATATAATTAACCCATACACATGCAAATTTAAGTGGGGAGAAAAATACGTGCATGTGTACGACACGTATAAAAGTTGGAGAAAAGTCTTTTTCTATGCCAAATTAGATGCATACAGAAAAAAATACATGTTGAGAGGAAAAGGGCATTGATGTTCAGTAGTGAATGTATGAAGCAAGCCCCCATTCATATGTAGACATGTTTTTGATATTACATAAAAAAAATTAAGTGTGATAAAAAGTCCAATGTAAATACTTTGAAATTTATGTAAAAACTGCAATATGAAGGTAATTGGTCTCCCTTAAATTCTATTAAAAGTTACGTATTTAAAATGAACTAACTTCTAACTACCAAATTTATAAAGACTTTATATTATTGAAAGTTCAAAACAGTTTCACTGTTTAATATTTGTATTTCTATCAAGACCCTGAACTGCAAATTTGGTTATTAGCAAAATGATAATGTAACTTGGTATTCATTTTGATAAACTGAAAATGTTTTGAAATGTCACAGCAGCAAATACATTACAGTTACAGTGAGGTTTTTCAATAGGAGTGTGACACAATCCTTAAATAAATTTTAAGTAGTCATAACATCAACTAACCAGCACGTTTAAACAAAAAAACAAACAAACCCAAACCATTCTTAAGCTCATTCTGTGCACATTATGAACATGCTCTAAGTTGCATTCCAACTTTCTTTTTAAACCTTACAAGTTACCTTAATCGTCAAACTAAAAAGGAAAATTATGTTAAAGTTTAAATTATTTTATGCTCTTAGTATTCCATCTTATTTCATATTTAATAATTCTATAACTACAGTAATTTCTCAGATTTCATAAGTGTACACTTTGTAAACACCAATTTCTTTCTAAACAAACAACAAAATTTTCTTAAAATGATAAAAAAATGCAGTTTATGCCTGCTAAACACACATTTTTAGTAATGAAATGTTTTTCTTACTTGTATTGGATATTTAAGTAACGATAAACTTTTTTTTTTTCACAGAATGTACTATATCCTACTAATACTTCACAAATCCACTTCCTTGTAAGGAACTAGCCTTTTTTTTAAAAAATCCACTGCTTTGTATAATCTGAGTTACTTACAATTTATTGCAAGTATTCTGTGAACTATAAAGTCTGCTAACCCTCGGTTGTGTATTTCCATAATAAGATGGATAATTGAATGGGTAAAGTGGTTCTCCACCAATTAAAAATTATGCTTCACATGACAAATACTTCTTTTCCCAAAACATCTTTATGCTATTGACTACTAAATAAAACCTGAATCTTTTCACCTATTTATACAAGGATTATATTAAATACACACTATCAGAATTAAGTGAGCAACTCTATAATTCTGTCCACAGTGAAAACCCTGAATAAAACTATTTTTCAAAAGGCATGTATGTGGTTTTTGAACTGTATAGTTTCATGTCTTCTGTCAGAGTGAGCATATGTATTTCTCACGTAGTGTGTGTATACAGACATACATACACACACACACACAATTCGCTAACAATTATTCTACACAGGCTTGCTACTATTTTTGCAGCTGCCAGTCCCTGAATCTGTCATATTAAATAAGCCAGTATCTGGTAATCGGAGTTTCTTCTTCGGTGGAGTCTTCAATGTTCCAGATCTTTCTTTTACTTTATATTCTAAAGTGCTGTGAGGTACCCCATAAATTCCTTGTGCTTTGGAAACACTCATTTTCCCACTCATTACCATTGCAATTGCTTCTTCCATTATTTCGTGATCATACTGCCGATAGCGGCCACGTTTTTTTCTTGGTTGTTTATTATCTTTACGATCCAAACTATCTTCTGTATTTTCTGAGGTTCCATCTACTGTCCCATTCTTAGCATTAAGACACAAAGGAGAGAGGTCCCCATGCAGAAAGTAGGAGTCAACACTTGAGTGAGTTACAGGTCCAGAACATTCAATTTTGTTCTGTTTAGGGAGGATATTTTTCAATTTTTGAAGAGCTGATCCTTCTAAGACTGAGGAGGTTTTAGAAACGTGGTACATAACATCCAGAAGACCAGCAGTATCAGACTGTGGTTTGGACACAGAACTTATTCTTAGCTGAGGAATTTTTAATTGTACAGTAGGACTTGAAGTTTCATATTGTAGATTTTCACTTTTTTCTTTAAATTGAGTGACCATTCTCTGTAGAGTTAACTGGTGGAGGTAACTGGAAGCTGTTGGGAATTTTAATTCTGAGGTTTCAAGTAGACTGAGTTTACTTTTTTCTGTGCGCTCTGCTTGAGCTCTTGCCCACAAGGCTACTTTTTGTAGGACTGCACAAGTTTCTTTACTGTCTTTAAATGAATAACTATCATTGAAATCTCGAGTTTTATTTTTAAAAGGTGCAGGCTTTCCTGCTGGTAAGGCTTCTAAGTGGAGAAGTAAAGTTTTTTGAGGTATGCCATAAAGTATGCCTGCTTTATTTATGTCCAGTGCTCCAGACTGAATGTCTTTCAAAGCTTTTGAGAGCAAACCATCTGCAAACTCAGCACTTCTTTCCACATAGTCCTCTCTGTTTCTGTGTAGTCTCCTGGATGGATGGAATGAAACGATGGTAAACTGATGTATGAGAGACTCTCACACAGCTATGGAAGGGAAGGGTCCACTCCTTTATTATACTCCTTGCTTCGGTAACATCACTGCTTCTGATACTTTTTAGTCTTTGAGATGTGGTAGTTAAATGATTATCCTAGCAAACTTACAGTTCTGGTAGGACAGTACGTCAAAAATCATACGGTGGCTTCTACAGCAGCCCTTCCAAGAACTTTATATCCTAGCTCAGTATTGGATAATAGTCTCATGTGCTTGTTATATTCCCTTGTTCACATGCTTGCAGAGCAACACTGTTATAATTTTAGTTATACAATTAACGTTCCATTAAATACCCAAATCCTGAAGGAGTTTTTGTTAGTAGAAACGTGACGTTACCGCTAAACAAGTAATAAAAGAGTCAACCCCCTCATAGAAAATTTGCAGCAATAAGTACATAACTACACACAAACATCCCAGACTTACACAAAACTAGGCTTTCTACAACAGTAAGATAAAAGTGCTGTTGTTAACAATCAAGTTCATTTTCGCAAAATGAGACACAGTTTAAAAAACTTCTAGTCACTACTTACAGCTCACTAGTTACAAAGTCATACTCATTTTCAAACTTCTTCGTATGAGTAAATTAATAAAATGCACTTCTACATCATTCAACAAATACTGCTACTGTAGTCCTATTTGCAATAAGTTATTTGGTAAGACGTACAGGTGACAAAAAGGGTCCTGCTATGGCTAGTGGATGGGAGGATGCCAAGATCATAAAATCCAACAAAACAATGCATTTCACTAATTTTGTGGTAGCTTTCAGCAGATGCAATAACATTTTCCATGCTGAATAAAGACATTTAACCATTTGCCACCACACACCATAGTCAGAACCATGATGTAAGTTTAAGTACGATGATTAAGAGCTCTCTCTCACGCGCTTGCTCTCTCTCTTATTAAGGAGTTTTATAGATAATAGTCATTTAACTTGTTCATGTTAGTTGAGGAACATTTTACATCTAATTATTAACATGGTCATTTTTGTCCAAAATTGAAGTTTCCTAAATAAACTCTAAAAGAATTATTTGCATTTTCTTCTACTATTCTATTACTTTTAATGTGTTATGTAATCAATTTTCAGGTAATTTTTAGTAACATGAACTAAAGTTTGGTGATTGTTCTGATAACTTTTCTTTAAACAGAAAAAAAGGAAAAAGACAAATGAAACATATGATATATACATAGACACACACTTATGAGTGACAAAAATTCTTTTGAAAGCAAAATAGGAACCACATGTGTGTGCCAGTATATACAAGTATGTTATGAACATAAAACCTGACCAGAGAAGAGAAACCCCGATTGTCTTTTAGATAAGCCAAAGAGAGTCCTAAATGTTGCTTACCCAGACACTGAGTTTTCAGAACACAATGGATCATATTTTGGTTCTTCCAACCTTGCGCTTTTCTTCGTAGAGAGATCTAGCACTCCATCCCCTGCAAAGAATGAGCAGTGATGATAACAGTGGTTTAAGGATCTCAACGATTTTGTTAGCAAATATTTTTTACCTATGGCACAATTTTCAAGCAGCTACTTTGTTTTTTAAAATTTCTGACACCATAATCCGTTAACAATGTCAGCCATCAGCAAAAGATTTTGTACATTTCATTTGGAAAAACACTTTTTTAAAATATGGAAAAAAATAAAAAATAAACCCATTCAGAGAGAATAAAATCTAAAAGAATCTATATTAAACAGAAACTTGACTGCTTTCCTTAAAATCATGTATGCATCTATATTGCACTGTTTACTTTCAAGGCAACCAAAACAATGTACTTGATATTACTATTATTATTATTCATATTTACATACTGTAAACAAACAAGTCTGATGCTGAAGTTAAAATTCACCTAACTAAATCCTAGGCTTACAGGACAATTCAGGTTAATAAGGATCTCAGGAGGCCTCTAGACCAACCTCCTGCTCAGAGTAGGGTCAACTATGAGACCAGCCCAGGTAACTGGATAAGCAGGTAGTACTCCAGCAATTGGGAAGCAAGCTTGAGCCCAGTACAGGGTTTTAAGAAAATGAGACCTATGCCATTAAAGGTTTAAACAGTTTATTTATAGAGACTCCTCCTGCTGCCTCCACATATATGCAATAATGAAATTAGAGAAACAGGAAGAGGTGGGAGTCTGGGGTGGAAGTCTGCTCTGTTAAGTCGCTGGTAAATGCTAAATTCAAGATTTATAGCTGGCTGTTGAAGTCTATGAAGCACTGAAACAGGAAAACATACTTTTTAAAAATCAGTATTTAAAAACATTGAAAACTAAAGAAACTAACTAGCACTTGAAATACTACTTTTAGCTTAAAGGTTTTTCTTTAAAAAAAAAATATCACATTTTAATCAGTTAAATCCCCTGAATATATTTAATTTCATACCTTTCTTCCTTGGTTCTTTGTTTCAAACTTGGGCTGTTTTGTGTGCCTGAGCTCTGCGAATTCAATTTTCAGTTTCAACATGTAGCTCAACATTCAACTCTACAATCACCCTCATACTACCCCTTATTACATTTACAGTGTCATTTTCATGTTACTGCTTATTATTTCTAAAGCATCAATCAACTGTATATATTTTCCCACAGCCTCAGATGTAGACATGAAGCACTGGCTGAAGAATCCAAATGTGAACAGCAGAATAAGACGTCAGGAAAATTGTTTGGGTTCCTCTCCTTTTTACCAGTAATGCAAAGAAACAGAGTTCTGTGTAATAATCAAAGCCAACTATTTGTTTTGGACTGATTTCTAGACTGTTCTTCTGCAACTATTTTGCAGAAGAAGGGTAGAGAAAGTAACATCATGAGTCAGCATTAGGAGAAAAATATTTATAAATATGCCACTTGTCAAAGATGCTCCTTTTCTTCTGAATACATTCCTTTCAAAGTCTTCCTTAGCCCTAAGAATGTTAAAGGAAGGACTAATGTTAATCAACCTCCCTGATGCAGTGAAGTTAAAGAAGAAAAAGCCAATTAAAAACACTACAGAAATACTCTACAGGGACTATTTGGTCCACCAAATACTCAAGTTTGCAGTGTCCCCAAGTCCTGTGCAAGACAGATTTTATCTGCTGTGTTCTGTCAGTCATACAACCCTTTCTTAAGCACAAGTGTTCCCTTTCACAACAGTTTTCCCATCTGCAATTGATATTCATAGGCAATATGATAAAGTTTAGAAGAGATCACTGAAGAAAGTCACTGGAGAAAAAACTACTTCAAAGTTGACAACTCATAAAGTAATGAAGAGTTAATCATCTCTAACCAATTTACAAAAAAAATTTCTAGCTAACTAGATTGTTAGGAAAAAAAAAAGCCCCAACAAACAAAACCCAAAGGTTCTTGTAAAATTCCATAACAAAATCTAACCAAAATAATTTTCATTTCCAATCTTTCAGAATTGGCTTTGACAATACAAGGCTAGTAATAAGTCGAAAAATGACTTAAAAGAACACAGTACTGAAAATGCAGGCTTCTGAAACCAAAAATTAGATAGATTTTGGGCCTCCAAAGGGTAAGCAGAACTGAAGTCATTTCAGATTCAAGACAGTTCCTCCAACTCAGCAAATGCATTAATTAAGTACATGACACTTCCCTGAAGACAATGCTTTATGGGAAGATGATACTCAGCAAAAAAGAACAATGCAAGAAATTTGATATCCATACAAAATATCAGATAAAGTCACTGCACTCCAGATTTTTATTCAGTGATTTCACTTGAATTAAAAAAAAACAAACACCAAAACAAACAGAAAGCAAAAACCAAACCAAATCACAAAATAACCCTCGCAAAAAACCACCTCCAACTGGTAGGAAAGTGAGAGCATTTGCTATAAAGCCTTAAAATATAATAAAATCCAACCTAATGAAAGGAACATATGTATATATACACAGTAATACCAAAGTTCACTTTGGTACATTAGGTACGAGATCTAAGAGTTTGCACAGGGGCATCCTGTATGTGGACAATGAAACATGAAAACTTGTTACTTCCAAGGTAGGAGCAGTTTTCTCTAAACTGAGCCAGAACTTTTTACTATTTCTTATCAAATCACTCAAAATAGGTATTAAAGCAAGAATTCTGAATAGGAACTGAATGATACCAGGAATAGAAAAACCACTCTCTAAAGTGGCTTTAATAAAAGACATGAAATTAATTCCACTCTTAGCTAAAGTCATGACTACTAAGATGACAGTCTTCATAAACAACACTATGTAACACTGGATAATATAAAAAAATTCTCAGATTTTTTCAGATATGCTACTCATGGTCTTCTAATGAAGCTATTTCTGTGCAAATTAAATAATTTTGATCTTCAAAGAAATGGCTCTTGCAAACTGCAGGTGTTTACAAACCCGCCTCCTCCTCTAAGAAGTTTCAGCAAGCCTTCCTTAGTTCTAATATAGTGAGATTTAGTAAATAACAACTCTCCCTTTACCTTGCCCACACACCCCATAAAGGTTTTTGTAGCAACAAAACAACAGTCTTGCCTTCCATACCTTTCCTGATGGTGTCTTGCCTTTTGCTGGCTATTTCCTGTGCTGCTGCACACAGAAACTCTTTTCATGGAACTGTCAGTAAGAACATCAAAGCCTTTTATTAATTCTTAACTACAGCTTTGACTAACACCTTTTTGCTGACTTGATGTGGTATTTTGTAACACGAAAAACTGCTAGATGAAAAGTGTATGACCAGGTTTTGGGTGGCCACAGCACAGTCTTGGCAGCATCTGTCAGGACAGGCAAGGGGTTGCCCTGTGCTGGACACAGACGGTCCTGGTTGGCTCCAACAGACCCATTGCAGGGCACGGCTGAGCCCAGCAGCCATTTGGACTGAATCTCTGGGAAATCACATTTAAGAAAGGGGAAAAAGTGCCAGATGGACAGACAAAACAGGAACCAAAAGAATGAAGAAATAGCAGAGGAAAGCCCAAAGGCAGAGAGAAACCATTAGGTACAGACTGTGGACACTGCACACCCATTACCCTTGCACCAAAGGGGCAGGCTGTGGTGGTCACAAGGGAACCTGGAGCCTGGGAGAGAGGAAAGGTAGTGTTGTAATGTATCTTTTTGTTTCTACTACCTGAATTAAAAATTAAATATTTATTTTAATAAGCAATAATTTGAGTTATTTTACCCAAACAGTCTGTTTTGCCCATGATGGCAAATGGTAAGCAGTGGCCATGTTCTTAACTCATACGCTCTCCTTTCTGTTCTTCCCATTTTCTCCCCTGTGCCATTGTGTGGGAAGCAAGCAAGTGAGCATCTGACAAGGAATTTGGCTGTTAGACACCCTGGTAGCCAAGGAATACACACCTACTTGCCACAAAAATGTACCTCTTTACGGTGCCCTTTTTGTGCAGAAGTATTAAACTGTTTCTTGAATGTATTTACAGCTCAAACAATTTATCTTTGTGAACATAGTATGTTTATCTTCAAAAACATAGTATTTTCCCCAATACATATAGCAAAAACAGGATCTTAAGAAAATAAAAGGTTATTTTCAGCAGTGTTTGGAATTCTTTCAATACACTGCCAGCTTTGATGTCTTCCAAACTATGATGGGTCAATGAAACATGGGAATTATGAAAATTTTCTTGCACTTTTTGGCTATGTTTATACACTATCATTGGTTCTAGAAGACCTAGAAACAAGAACAAGCTTGTACAGTTAAACTAACAGATTATACATTTGTACTGCTTCTACTTCTGACTCTTGTAAGTCACCTTGCTTAGAAGCTTGAGAGCTATCAACTCTCCCCTATCTACATCAAGGGAAAGAAGCCTTTGCATCAGAGTTAGCTGCTGTTGGGAACATTCCTGAAAGAGCTCAGCACCATGACTGCGTGAGGAAATAAGTTGCTGCAGGATATTCGAAGACTGTTCCTCACTCACCGTTTTACTCTGCAAGGATGCTGCTTCTTCATTGGTTTAGTTTGGAGGACAAGCAATGTTGCAAAAGTACACAATTTTGTTTTTTTGTTAGGAGCAGTGCATGAAAAACAAATTTTCTTTCACTGTACAGAATATTCTTTTCAAGGCCTGGACAGTCTTATGAGTTACAGAGATTAGGAAAAAAAGAGCAAGATACAGGTATTTCTGGAGAAAGTTGCTGCTAATTTACAGATGATTGCCTGATTATTTACCACTAAGGTGCACAGAAATTAAAGCATCCTGCTAAATTACCACTTCCATATGCAGAGGAAAGCAGAGGATAATTGGAGACTCCAATACAAGTCAGGTGCCAAACTGACATACCTGGATACCAGTGCTTAAATACTAGTATTCAGTACTAAATGCTTCAGTACTAGGAGTGCAATGGATTGATCTTGGCCAGTAGCTATTCCCCAGCTCAGCTCCTCTCTGTCCCCTTCCTCAGTGGAGGGAGAAATAAGATGAAGGTCATCAAGATAAATACCAGGATATCATTTGCCAATGACCATTATAGGCAAAATGGACTTGAGGAAAATTAATTTATTGCAAATTAAAATTAATTTGGATAATGAGAAAAAGATAAAAACTAAAGTGCTTCCCCACTCCACCTTTTCCCAGGCTCAACTTAACTCCCAGCTCCTCTATCTCCCTAACCCCCAGGTGGCATAGGCAGGATTGGTAATGGGTATGATTCCTCTCTACAGCTTTTTCCTCCTCACACTTTTCTCCTCCTCCATTGTGGGTTCTCCACAGGCCACAGATCCTTCAGGAAATATCCAGCTGCTCCAATGTAAAGTCTTCCACAGGCTGCAATGTGAACAAATACCTGCTCCATAAGCTGCAGTGGAACACCTGCTTCACTGTGGCCCTCTCGCTGTGCTCCATGGAAATACCCACTCTGACTTCTGGAGCACCTCCCTTCCCCCTTCTCTCACCTTGTTGTTCACTGTGCTGTTTCTCACTCCTCTCCCTGTCCAGCATTTTTGCACTTTCTCCCTGATGTGCTCCACTAGGGTTTCTGTTGCAGAGCTGGCTGTGCCTTGCACAGGGAAGCCCTGACACATTCTTGTAGATGCCACCCTACAGTGCTCCCCAACTACTAAAACTTTGTCATATAAGCCCAACATACAGGGGTATCAGATCTGGAAGTGACAGATGTGAGGTTTTTTCAGAGTGCTTCAGAGATGGCCTGTAGGTACTGGAGGAAAGTAAAAAGCTTTCTTCAATGGAGAACTTTGGTGGCAGAACCTTTTTTCAGTGTTGAGCTAGCACTTAGCTTGGGTCTGCTCAGTGCAAAAGCAACTGCTTCGAGTAATCTGGAAAACAGTTTACACCTTCCTCTCAAGTGCAAGAATCACTGCCATAGTAAAGAAACAAGACTGTCTGTTTTACTATTTAGATCATTGATTTCAAAGACAACTACTGTAAATACAAAGCAGCTGCCTAAACAGAAAATGAACCTAAAGCATTTATATTTAAGTCATTATCTGCTTAACAGGATTTGAATTGAAAAGACTTTAACCTTGAGGATCCATCAAATCTGAACAAATTTAAACTTCCTACTCTGTTATTGCCACTTCATTTGGAAATCCAATTTGGAAATTACAATTAGCAAATGGTAGGAAGAGTTGCATGACAGTTAAACAATACTACTAAGAAGGGAATCCTTGTATAGCTTTTATAAGTCTCCAGACTGAAGAAGTATACTATGTTAGATACAGAACTATATATTTTTAAAAATATATCCAATTAAAAAACCTTCATAATTTTCTACTGTAAGCATGTGACACTTCATTATAAACAAGCTTCCTTCAGGCAAATACAGAAGTGAGAGATAGGCAGAATAATAACACATAGTCTTTGACAAAAGCTAATTGAAATACCTTTTTCTTTAATCTTTACACATAGAACACAATGCAAATAAAATGAGGAAGCTGACTTTTTTCATCTTGATCTTATTTGCTTGTGCTGCCATCACTACAGTGAAAAGCTAAAATAGCTCAAAATTGGTATGTTAATGGGAAACAGGAAGCACAAAACAACTTTCCTGATAGGTATGATGTTCAAGCCACCTTTCTCCAACTACAGTCTTATTTCATCAGCAGCTCTAAATTTCACAGCAAGACCAGTACCTTTAACATCTGCAAAGTGCTCCAGCAAACACGGCAGTTTAAGTTCTGAGAATCTACAGTATCTTATATAGTTTACTGTGTAAGTTGTATTCTGTGTGCTGAGCAACTATTTTAGCCTAAGCTGTTTCACTGAAGGTGCAGATTTCTAAACTTGTTATTTAGCCTGATTGTAAAAAAAAACCTCCAAAGATATTAAAAAAAAAAAAATTAAATAACTTAATTTCTCTATATTTCAGGTTTTTCTTAGATAAAAGATTAATGGATTTTCAAACAGCTGTGCAGCATAGCCTTCTTCCTGTCCCTGTTCTGTTCACTCTCTGCCTTCCCTTTCATTCCTCAAAGATTTATTTGGGCTCAGCAACAACCAGAACCTGTCACTGGGGACTTTGCTCCCTCATGGACATTTAAAACCAGTTATTTATAAGCAGCTGTTGAAGCAAGCAAAAGGCAATAGCGCTGGTATCAGGAAAGTGTTTTTTTTGTTGTCCTTGCAAAAGAAACGTGCCTCAACCTGGCCAATTATAAATCTCTAAAATCTGGTAATTCACCAATAGCAGAAAGCACAACAGACATTTTCTCAGGATTTAATCTGCATAAGGTATTTACTAAACCCTGGTATTAACTGGTTTCTGCCAACCACACAGAATAAAAGCAGGAATTCCACTATTTCTTAATGCTTTTGCTGTCACAGAGAAGGGATGTTTGAAATTTAATCTAGAATAGGTATACTTAGCATGAGAAATCCATGTCAGACTTCTCTGCCCCCAAGGATGTCATCCAATTAAAGACTGCATCATTAGGCACACACCAGATCTGCTCTCATTCTGACAATGTATATTAAAAAAAAACCAAAAACAAAACCAAACGAAACCCAAAACATTTAGTTCTGCCTTCTTCCAACTCTTTTAGTATGGTACATGACAAAAGGTCAACCTTTCCCTTTGGTTGGCAGTATTACAGGATTAACACAGACCCTTATATCTGTAAAAGACAAAAGCTGCTTTTGCCAGTGCTTTCAGTTGCACATGACAGTCACAACCACTCCTGAAAACTGCTGCTAATCCAAATCTAGTTCAAAGTCCAAAACACTCTTGTGATTATACTGTTATCAGTTTTAGATAGCAATATTCCTTGAGGCAAAGAAATCATTTCCCTTATGAAAATGATAGTGAGACAGACTTTATTTCTCCAGCTTTACCTTCAATTAAGAAAGCTGCACTGATCTATAATGATTAAAGTATGAAGTATGGAAATTTCCTTCCAAATTAATCTTCTCTTTCCATCATTCTAATCAGCCTATATTTAAGAATCAAAGTGTCCAAGGGCTGATGCAGACTGAGTGACATCTGCTCTCTGAAATTCTAGTATCCTTCTTGCTTTTCTCAGGCTTCTAACAGAATCACTGTTACCTGTGACAGCCACAGGTGAGCTGACTTGGATCCAGTATTCCAAAGCTGTGAAATTCCAATACCACTTATTTAACCCAGGCACTCAGAAAGGAGAATATTTATCTGCTAACACACACTATGAAAAATGTTTCTAGAAAGAATGGAGAGTTTTTTTGTAGTGTGTTTTTTTTTTTTTAACACAGTTCTCTTATAACACTTCTCCTGGTGTTTAAGGGAAAAATGTATGAACTTTCTTTCAGCGTTAAGTTGATGCCATACCAATTTTCCTTCAACCTTTTTTTAAATACATAGGATAATTTTTTTTCTCCTGTATACCTATTACTACTTTGGAAAGGTAAAACACGTATTAGACATTGACGTTTATTTTTTAAGGGAATAAGATGCCACAAAGTAACAAATGACGGCAAAACATAGATTAGCAGATATAGAAATTTACCTTGCTGAGTATTCTGTTCTTGAGTTCGATTCACAGTGAGGTCTAGAGGGCTATCCTGTTCTTCCTGAAGGGAGTTTTCCGTTTGGTTCATTTGGACACTTTTACACATCAGACTTGGTTCAAACGATGAACCATTTCTGTTCTCTTGAATTTTGCTACTTTTTGAAATGTACTCAATCGCAAACTGACGGATCATTTTTTTCATTAATTCCTGAGCAACTAGGGGAATGTTAGGATCACAGTTCTGAGGAAGATCTAGGAATAAAAAAAACACAGGCAAGAGTCAAGCTTAATTACTTTTCTTGTAATAAACACTTCCCATAAGCACACAAATGTACATAACAAGTACATGTGTCATGAATGTAATAATTCAGGTGCCCAATAAATTTTTCTTATGAGCATTCCTAACTGGAGGTCACTTGGAAGAACATATTTAGCACAGATCAGTAATTTTTACCATATTCCTTTATCACAGCACGCAAGTAAGACTATGCGGGTTGCATTATTTATGGGAGTCAGAATGTGCATTTACTGTTGGCAATAAGTTGAATTTTCATTTGCAGACTGTTTCCTGTTTTGAAAATAAACAATTTTGAATAAAACCAGTGAAAGTTAAATGAGCTGTGAGTTAATACTGAAAGAAGTTACTTTCAAAGAACAACCATAACAAAATAATGTGTAGTAAAGTGTAGAGTAACATAACATAGAACACTTCTATAGAGTAACATAACATAGAACACTTGGACTTTTGAGGAATTGACCTCAAAAAGAAAAAAAAAAAAAAGAGAGATTTATCTCACCTTCATATTAAATTAAAATACCCACTGTAGATTCAGGATTGAAATGTCAAAACTGATATGATGCTCCTTAAAATGTCCCATACAATTTAAGGTAATACAAGCAATTGAATACAAAAATAAAGCTGTAAATTTTTATTGTAAAATCTTACAGGATTTTCAGGATATTTCCTAAGTGCTATCAATGAAACCACTTGTAAGAAAAGCTTTATTTCCTCTTCTACACTGGGTGTACTCTATTTTTTGCTTGTGTATGTAATAGTCCCATGGAAAGTAGTATTTCATTTTAAAAACAACAACAATAAAACAATTAAAGGATCAAACATGAGATACCTCTGACTTTATTTTAATGTTATCTGTCAGCTAGAAAAAAGTTAAACCTCTTATTGAACACAGATGAAACTACATTTGTGAATCAGTAAAAAGAATCCTAACAGAAGCACCAGACAGAACAAAACAAAGATGTGTAACTTAACATAAATAAGCTGTGTTACTACACTGATGACTGCAATACTTCATTTCCCAAGACAAGCAAAACTGCCCATGCTCAGAGATCTGTGTCTTCCTTGAAGTGGCAGTAGTAGTACTCACTTCACTATCCCACTCTTCCTTCTTTCCTTCAACTCTACACACATTCCCCCCCCCCCCCCCCCCCCCCCCCAAATATCCTTTTCAATGTTTTAACCATCCTTGAGTTCACAGGTAGTGAGTGAAGCAGTTTTCAATCCAGAAGGTACAGGGATTTAAAGATTTAAAAGTGTGAATGTGATACAGGAGAATTAGCTCTTAGGTCCATCTTGATTGCCTGAAAGGAATACCAAAGGACATGATTCTGTAGTTACTGGGATACTAAAGTTAGTCTGAAACAGATAAGGTAGATGAAAAGTTGGGTTTTGTTTTCATGGAAATGGAGAAACTGAAAGGCCTGGACTGGGGAGATGTTTGCATGCAAAGTGTACGTTTCCTAATAGATAGTTTGGGGATCATTTTCACCAACAGAACATGGTAAGGAATTACAAACACACACCTATGAGATCTGCTGTGTGAAGCACATGAGAGGGCAGCTGACTGTTCAGATGCTTCCTCTCAAGACCTTTTGGTTGGCGCCTCAGTAGTGCTTTATGAAGTACAAGTGAAGGTCCAAGATTTCCAAAGACTGAGTACATGTTAGACATCTTGGGTTCAAGAGAACTTATCCAAGGCATAACAAAACAAGTCCGCTTATGGTTAAAGCTCTATCTTCTGACAACCTTTCAAACAGATCTCTACCTCAATATCTAAAATTGACAGGCGTTTCTAGGAGAGAGGTATGAGGTAAAATTAGAAATGATAGAGAAAAGAGAAAGATCTCTCCCTGCCATGTAACATCCAGGTATTACTATTCTTTCTTTATATTGTTATTTCCTGATCCTAAATAATGAATCCAGAAAACGTTCAACTGGAATTTTATCATCCTAGAGACACAAGTAAAGAAAAAAATTCAATAGATATTAAAGTAGTAAGGCAATAGGTGTAAAAGTGCTAACGAATATATAAAATATAAAAAAAGAAGAAGGAAAGTTAAGAGATAAAATTGAATAACTGAATTATCTAGGAACAAAAGTGTTTGCATGACAGGAGAATGGTAGTTCTAGACAATGAAAACTGTTGATCAATAGCTTAACTTAAAAAAAAAAACATCAAAAGAAACAAAACCAAAAATCTGACAGTCTGTAATCAAGAAACTCATACAAAATTAATTATACAAAACATTATCATATTATATAGAATAATATAATCACACTATTATACTGAATAATCTACCAGATATCTGGTCTGGAATGACCCTGTTTATATCAGAAATTAGTTTTTTGCATGCACCCAAGAAAAACTACTTTGATGGCTTCTGGATAACAGGGGACCATCCCTGCAAATGGGAGAGAAGAGTTATTTTAAAGGCACAGATCATACCAGGATGTAACAAGCAAAAGACCATAGAGTGCAAGGGACACCTGCCATTAGCTGGAAAACACAAAACCCTGTAACAAATTTCTCCTTATTAATCACCATCCCCTGCATCAGTTATTATAAACTGATACAAAAAACTCAAACAAAACTCATTCAGAACTGTCAAGTTTCTACTGCCTTCCTATTCTAGTTTAGACTATTCACACTGGTAATAGCCAAGCATATATTGCTTTTAGACACTTGAAAGAGAAGTCAGCTTTTCCATTAGGAGCAAAGTCATCTTTTGACCTAGTTGGAATAAGAAAGCATTTTTTTTTGTTCTTATAACAAGTTCTTTAGCGTTAGTTTTTATTTTTTTTTAACTTCCCAATATTCCGTATGGAAAAATAAATGCAGCAGAATTCCTCATATATTCAACTGCTATAGCTATTGGTAGTTTACAGATTCTAAGTTAATTTACTCTAAAAAGGTAATACAGAAGTTGGGGTGTGTGTATACCTCTGAGCATATGATCTGAAAGACGTGCTCCAGGGATGCATCTGAAGTGCTCTTGCTGCTAATGCAAATTCAATCTACAGGGTGAGACTCAGGTAGTCTAAGATTAACTGCCACAAATGCAAATGGTGTTGCTATCACATTGACTGTTCTATATTGTAAATCATTAAATAGTAAATCATGCTGGAAGCACCTTGGGAGATCTCTAGTAAAACTGCTTGTTCAAAGTAGGGTCAACTACGAGGTCAAATCAGGTTTCTCTGGATTTTACATAGTTAGGTCAGGAGTACTTCCATGGATGGAAACTGCACAACCTCTCTGGGTAGCATGTTCCACTGCTTGCCTGGCCTCATTTTTCCTTAGACGAAAAAGAACTTCTAATTTCAACTTGTCTGTAATCTGTCACTATCCTGCTATGCACCACTGTAAAGGCTTTCGCCCTCTCTTAGAATCATTCAATACTCTATGTTGGAAGGGACTCATCAGGATCCTCAGGATCATTGAGTCCAACTCGTAGCCCTGCACAGGACACCCCAAGAATCACATGAGCCCGAGAGTTTGTCCAAATGCTTTTTGAACTCTTGGTGCTGTGACCACTTCACTGTTCCAGTGACCAACCACCCTCTGGGTGAAGAATCTTTTTCTAATATCCAACTAAAACTCTCCTGACACAACTTCAGGCCGCTCCCTTGGGTCCTGTCACTGGTCACCACAGAGAAAAGATCAGTGTCTGCCCCTCCTCTTCCCCTCACAAGGAAGTTGTAACTGCAGTAAGGTCTCCCCTCAGTCTCCTCTTCTCCAGGCTGAACGGACCAAGAGAACTCAGGTGCTCCTCATACGGCTTCCCCTCAAGGCCTTTCACCATCTTTGTTGCCCTCCTTTGGAAGCTCTCTAGAGACTTAATGTCTTTTTTTATATTGTGGCACCCCAAACTGCACACAATATTCAAGGTGAGGACACACCAGTGCAGAGCAGAGTGGGACAATCCCTTCCCTTGACCGCCTGGTGATGCTTTGCCTGATGCCCCCCAGGCCATGATTGGCCCTCCTGGCTGCCAGGGCACTGCTGACTCATATTCAACTTGCTGTTGACCAGGACTCCCAGGTCCCTTTCCGTGGCACTGCCTTCCAGTCTCTCATTCCTCAGTATGCATATATATTCAGAGTTGCTGGAAATCTGCTCTTGATCCATTACTATTAATGCTGGTTTGCTTCTTGATGGAGAATGAAGCTGGGGACGCTTAACTTGTATTATGAGGAAGAAGCAGTTTAGAGCAGTTTGAAGTTAGAAATAATTTCCCGCAGCTCTCCAAATGTTATAGAACACAAACGAGTGCTGTAAGATCTCAAAGGAAAGAAGAAAGTTATACAGTTTCATAACTATATTCTTTTTATACACTGTACATTCCTGAAAAAAAAAGACTAAGGTAAAGGCAACTTTTATATATTTTATCAATGTAACACTCAAGTTATCAAAAGATACACACTTGAAGTAGGTTACATAACGTCTAATTACTTGCCTTCAATGGCTGTAAGTCTGCAATGAAAACAGACCTGGAGCATCTCTCTTACAAGGACATGGAGTTGGGCCTGTTCAGCCTCAGAGGGGACCTCATCACTATCTATACGTGTCTGTAGGGAGGGTGTCAAGAGGATGGAGCCAGGCTCTTCTCAGTGATGCCAAGCAGAAGGACAAGAGGCAATGGGCAGAAAGTGATGCACAGGAAGTTCCACCTGAATATGAGGAAGATCTTCCTTACTGTGCAAGTGACTGTGCACTGGAACAGGTTGCCCAGAGAGGTTGTGGAGTCTCCCTCACTGGAGATATTCAAGAACCATCTGGATGCAACCTGGGCAATGTGCTCTAGGATGGCCCTGTTTGAGAAGGGAAGTTGGACCAGATGACCCCACTGTAGTCCTTTTAACCATACCCATTCTGTGATTCACAATGGCAAAGTTCCGCTACACATGAGAAATTTGTAATAAGTCATATAAAATTTTTAAATGCAATGAAACATATTCTGGGGCAAGAGAGGCATTAGATGTCTGGCCTTCGTATCACTACTAAATATTTCTTAATTATTATCAGCAGATGGCACCAGATATACTTTGTATGACCTAAAGAGTCTTTATTCTAAGGTGTTTCATTAGGAGTCATGATTATAGCTCCTTAAAAAGTTTTAAATCTACACGCCTACACCTGTTTAAACTCCTATTTTTCGCAGTTGATTTAAAACACAAGGTATCTGTATTTAGTCCATAGACCTTTTGCTCTAAAGATCACTCTGATGTTCCTCCATTTTCTCTTAGATCACTGTAACCTGATGTTATTAGGATAAAAGATGGTTAAATGACACATTTGTACACTATAATATTTTCTGCTTGTGATTTTCAAGATTACAGTCAGAATGCAAGAGAAGAGTAATAAACATCGTGTAATTATGACTAATTGCAATGATTTATTTTAATTCAAAGCTCATGTTTAGGATTAATACTTACTCAGTTTATGTGCTGCAACAGCTTGTAACTATTTGAATTCATACTCTTAACTACTCTGTTCATTATGTGTGATTATTAGACTACAATGTACAATATAATGACTGCTGTGACTGACAGTTCAGAGTTACACATGTATTTGGCAGGACAATGAACAAGGAGTTAAAAGCTCCCAAAATAGTGTTCCACAATAGTATTCTATTTCTTGAAAATGCATAATTTTTCATTAAAAAGTCAAACTAATGAATTAATTTCTCTACTGATACAACACCAAAAAGCAGTGAAAAGCAGCAGGGAATTACAATCTTCTTTGTACCTTACAAGGTTGTTGTGCGAGTAGCAGGACTAAGAACACCTGGTTGTTTATCAGCGTGTTCCCTGCATTCACTCCACCTTTCCTCTTTTCAGAAAAAGGTCATGTTTTCTAGAACAACCCCGCCTCAACAGCCACTAAACTGTCCCAGCAATATTCTTAGCTGTACTCATAAAATTGTTCATGTCACTGTCAGATCACTGACAAGTTAAAACCAGAATACAAGAATTTATTCTGAGCCATGTATCACAATTAGTTAACTTGACTGATCAACAAACAGAAGGAATAAAGGCCAAGTCCACTCTAGTTTTCTGCTCTTGTAAGCATTCCACGTTTTTCCTTCCTCTACTCAGGTTGCAATTCTCATTACTCTATATATAGTCATATCTCTTAAGAATATTCTTAAATATAGTTGAAAATGACCAAGAAATTCAGAGTCAGTGAAGACAGTAACACTGGCAGGCAGGTGGTCAACACAAAAACTATGCTTTACTTCCTTATGAAAGCAGCTGAAAACCTGCTATGTATTCTTTCCTGATGAACTTTAAGAGGAATAGCAAGGCTGTCATATAAGCTTACTGCACAAGATATGTCAGAGCTCTCAGAGATTACAGAACACCTTGCAGATTTTGAAAGGACAAATTAGATTTCTTAAAATTATTAATAAAAAGGAACTGCAGGCATTGGATGAAGCAGTGTGTACATCCCAAAACTCCAACTCAGAAAGTAACACTTCTTTTTCTAAGTCTGAGATTATGTGTGCAAAATTACATTCTCATAGGTTTGTCAAATTATATATACATTGTCCAAGAAGCATAACCAGTTTATGACATCTATGCAACTAAGACAGAACTATGCAAAGAACAGGAGAACTCAAAGTTAAATTCAGGGATACGGTATGATGTATGAAAGTCATATTTATGAATGGAAATATTGTGCAACATGAAATAGATAGCTAGAAACTATTAATAAAGAATTTTTATAAAGCTTACAGGGAAATTATTTTGATATGGGAAATGTAGCAATGAAGATACTTGACAGAGCAGCCCAGAGAATCTGGAAAGATTCAAGTAATCCCAAACATTCTCCCTGTAATTTCATGCCATAATTCCTTAACTTCTATAAGAGCTTCTCATATTTCAGTCTTCTCTTGGTGGATCATGTCCTGAAAGTAGAACGTGATTCACTACCATGAATGCATGCAAATAACCCTTTCTTTTTAATTTGTTTTTGTTTAAAGAGGTCACATTAATACTGCATGGAAAAATGAGCTTCTAAGAACACACAATGTGGAATACTAGAAACTCAGAAAATTAATAGTCCATGAACAAAATGTCTGATTAAGTACTTAAACAACCAAGGTTCTGCTATATAACAATGACCATGTCACATTCTATAATATTCATGATAAAAAAAAGGCTAATATGTATTCTTTAACGAAAGAAAACAGTTGTATTTTAACATCATGTAAGTGGAAAAGTACCACAGTCTACTCTGCTTACATGACCAAAAGGGATGTTATACTTGGGAAGAAAGCATCTGGGTTTCAGATACATTTTTTAATGGGAACATCAGTGTTTGACGACAAGAATCATTTTGGCTTTGCTGAGGTGTCTGCTGAGCATAGGACTTTTCTACTGACAATTAACTACCAAACTGGCCTTTCACTAACACACAGTGAAGTTAGGTTGCTAATAGGAAGACACTGTCACTTACAGCATCTCCAGAGTTTACACATCTTGGCAGTAATTCTATCATCCCTTGTCCCAGATTCTACAGACAAGTTGTCATCTAGGAATGTCTGAAGCCTGTATGCTGCAGACAATCATATAACGTGGCTGCATGTTCTGAGATCTTCTGAACTAGTTTCCTGATATAAAAAAAACCCCACCCTAAACCAAGACCACAACCAAATGCCCCAAAACTAGTCTGCAAATGAAAAAATCCAGTCGTATACTAATTTGTTCTAAAATAAAAGGTTAATGAGACCAACAAATCCAACTCTTAAATTTGCTCACTAGTCTTAGAAGTTGTTCACAGAGCCCTAAATGAAACTGTGGTAGTTATAATAGTAAGAGGGTAGATCATCTTGAGGAGTTTGCAATCCAAACAAGTGTCACTCCATTTTAAAGACAGCCAACCAAGAATTATGAATTTTTTCCACAATGAAAGCACATCTGGTTTAGTACCAGGTATAAGATCTGTTCCTTAGCTAAGCAATTACTGGAAATTTTTTGATTCCTTTTTTCCTAAGTTGATAGCTGAACTCAAAAACCTGCATAAATTCAGAAAGCAGACGTGAGATTTTCTCTAGTAAAAATCTTCATCTTCCTTCCTAAAATCCAAAACAGTTACTTGAATACCTCATAAATTGGTTTCACATGTCCTTTACAATATTTTTTGCTTTTCACTTCCTGTAATTTAAACAACTTAAAAGACTTTGCTAAGACCTGAACTGAAGCAATATTCTTGGAAAATTCCTAACCAAGAATACAGAAGTCCTTCAGAGAATCACAAAAACAACTGGAAAAGACTGGTTTTGTTTTTTAATAGACAATTTTCATGTAGCATGATTGACCTGGCAGATCAAATCACCTAAGGAAGATGCTAAAAGCCAAATGTTCTTTGTGAAAAACTTCACTAAGGCGAGGTCATGACAAGTTTCACTTCTCTTATGATAAAAGTTCCTCTCAAGGAGTATCAAAAGGCAGCATCTCCAGCAGAAGCATAAAGCAGGCAAACGTTCGAAAACACTGTACACATCAAGACCAAGAAGAGATCTGAGAAAGCAGAAATATGAAGGAATTAAAATCCCTGCCTAGGGAGATGCCATGCAACTGGGCCTGTGATGAAAATATAATAAGAATTTCAGAAGTAATGAGGTGCCATCTTCACTGGACATTTTATTTCAAATGGAAAATAGCTTGTTTTAAAGAAAGACAAGGAACAAAGATAGACTCAAAATGCTGTTGCACTCCACATAAAGTTCTTTAAAATGCAAAAAAGCAAAATGTAGCCTGAATAGACACACAGTACATACACCCCAGGTTCAAGGGCATAATAATTTCTCCTGCTACAGCATAGTAAAAGGGAGAAAACCAACTTTGTTTTTTTCTCCCACTTACGTGAAAGAAGAGAGTGTGTCTAATTCTTTGTTAAAAGCAAGAGAGGGCTGTCATCCTAGCCATACTCAGCTATTCTGACATCCAAGTACACCCACTAACCCCAAGAAAAACCCGTGAAGATTGTAGTTACTGAGTAAAGCTTCATTCACTTTTCTTCATTCACAGGAAGCTAAGGAAGAAAATGAGTATTTCTGCTGCCGTTGACGGTGAATAACCAAGTAACTTTCATGAACCAAGCTGACTTGTCAGTCACTCATGTACTGCTATAACTTTTTGAGTTCGAAAGAACAAGAACAGTCAAAGAATTGATGAGCTACTAAAAACTATATTTTGACAAGAAGTTTCAACCTCCAACTTGGATGTATTTGAAGCAGCAGCTTTTGTACAAGAAGATCCCAAATTCCATTTTGCAATCTGCAAAACACATTTTCTCACCTAAAACTGTTTTCCTTTTGAAAACCACAAGTGAGAATTTAGGAATAGAAAATGTTTAAATACTTAAAATTCCAGAGAATGGTACCTGAAGTTGGCACGAGGACAAAGTAGCAGTTCATGGTAAAAAAACCCAAACCAATACAATTTGATGAACAGGGATTCAAGAGAATAACACATAATGCAACAGGACTAAGAGGAATGGCAAGTAGGAAGAGTAGTACTTCATCTGGTGATTCTAGTAAGCAAAGAAAAAGATTAGGGAAAACCAAAGGAATAAGGAAAAGAAACAGCAGAAACATTTATTTCAATAGATAAATAAAAAAATACTTAAGAATCAAAATCAACCCTGAATACTTTGATTCTTCTAGATTTTCACCATATTTCTTAATATAAAAGACATGTTTTTATTACCTTTCTTTCGAAAGAGTGCATTTAGATAGTTTTCTGCTTGGCATTCAATCTTATCAGTGTTGGACTGGCCCTGAGATGACAGTTCCTCTGTAGGCGTTGACTGTGAAGAACCGATAACTGATGCACGATCCTAGAAAAGATATGAAGATCATGACATCTCTCAGAAGTTAGTCTGCTGGTAGTGCAACATACAACGAATTACTGAGCTACTGAATTAAATAGTTTGATTTTACTGGTTCTATCTTGAGTCAAAATGCAGAATTAACTTATCTGCAAAATTAAATTCTCTGATTCTTACTTTCATACCAAAAAATGGGTGTTAGGGAATAATGTTTAATATCATGTTCATACTTACACTGGCTGTTTCTTTGTGTAAATTACAAAAGGAACATTTCTCATCCATAGACCAGTCAGTTAGCTCTTCTGGCTCACAGTCTTAAAGGAAGAAAAGAAAGCTAGATGTTTTAAACAAGTAAAAATGGATTTTGAAAACAAAATACACATCCTACAATTCACTTAAGTAAATTCTGTCAATAATCTGGTATGTGTTTATTGGTACAAGGCATTCAGTAGTATTCTATTCTTCAGATATTTCCAAAGTCTTGTCTGACTTGTTACAGCTCAACTTACAAATAGCAGAGAGCACCTTTCTTAAAAGGAAAGGCAAACTCATGCAATTCAACTGATTACCTGTCATAATTACTGAAGGCATCTGAATACCGTAAATAAAGTGATGAATTGCAGACATTATTCTTTTTAACAAAGCGTGCAAACTTGTAGTAAACTAAGCTAGGAATTAGGATATGAACTCCTCACCATTCAAGCTACATGAATTTTACTTACAGTATTTTAATTGATTTGAAACCATCACCATAGGTAAACCAAAGCCATATACTCACTTCTAGCACTTGATTTATCTAGAAAAAATAACTTTATATGTTTTGTCAGAAAATGTACTTTGGTCTAGAGGGAATATAGGACTTAAATCTACATCGCCTATATCAGGTCCAGTCTTCTACTGAATCAAAACACACCATCTACTTTCTTTAAACAAGTTATTGAGCCTCATTTCAAAATTAAGAAGTTTTCCACCTATACTCTTCTCTTCCCTATCAGGAATTGCTTCAAAGCTTTTCCCAAATGAACGGTGCTAATAGTTAAAATTAAGTTTCTAATTTCTTGTTTAAAATTAACACACATGGCAGCTTCGTTTTGAGGCAACATTATTCTTATACCCATATACTTTAGGCATTTAGCACCTTGATGTATTTACAGAGAATACCATTATCCCCTTTACATTTAATTTTGCAGCTAATCTAGTTCACCTGGTTTTCTCTCATGAGATTCAACTCCATATTTTCTGCACCAGTCTCACTTGAACACCTGTTTCCTGAACAGGGTGACCAAGATCTCAAGATGATGTCTTTTACATTTAGATCAGACTTCCTTAAACTGTAGGCAGTACTTTTCCCACAGTATCCTAGTTATGCAGCAGTCTTTATCACTGCTACAGTCTTGGCAGGTGAATACAAATATGATTAACTAATACACCAAGGTCCTCTCCATCCTGCTCATTTCCAGTTCATGCACTTAAAACCTAAACAACTTTTTCATCCTCCATTATTAATTACCAAGTATGTTTCCTCCTTTTCTCTGTACCACTAAATTACAATCACAGTTTTGTTAGGCAGGTTCTTGAGATTATCTGCTTTCAATAGCACATGATGGTAGGCTGACCTTGGCTGGCTGCCAACCCCCAACCCAGTGATGCTGTCACTCCCCCTCCTCAACAGGGCAGGGGTGGGGAAATAAGATGGTAGGGGAGAAAATAAGAGGAAGAAAATAAGAAAAACTTGTGGGTCAAGATAAAGACAGGGAGATTACACTTACCAATTACTGTCACAGGCAAGTCAGACTCAACTTGGGGAAAATCCATTTCATTTATTGCCCATAAAAATAGATTTGCATAATGAGAAAGGGAAAACACTAAACCACCTAACCACCCCTTCTTCCCAGGCTTCAGCTTCACTCCTTCATTTCTGAGTCTTCTCTCTCCTCCCCCATCCCAAACAGTGCAAGGAGGATGGGAAACAGGCTGTCCTCAGCTCATAACAGTTCCTCTCTACTTATTGCTTTTCCTCATTATTCCCTGGCTCCAGCTTGGGGTCCTTCCCACAGGCTACAGGCCTTCACAAACTGCTCCAGTGTTCTTCCCACAACTGTAGCTCTTCATTAACTGCTCTAGCATGTCTTTTCCACAGGGCGCAGCCCTTCAGGAAGAGATCACTCTGCAGGCCCACAGTTCCTACCAGAAAACCTGCTCCTGCATGGGCTTCTCTCTGTGGGCTGCAATTCCCAATAGAAGCCTGCTCCATGGGCTCTCCGTAGGCTGTAGCTTCCTTCATGGCATCTCCACCTGCTCCAGTGTGGGGTCCTCCATGGGCTGCAGCGCAGATATCTGTTCCAACGTGGTCCTCCATGGGCTGCAGGCTCTACCTGCTTCACCATGATCCTCTCCATGGGCCACAAGGGAATCTCTGCTCCAGTGTCTGGAGTACATTCTCTCCCCTCTTCCTTCTCTGACCTTGCTGTTGGTAGGGCGGTTTCCCACTGCTCATCATCCCCCATCTTTCCCCCACAACTCCTTAACTTTTACTTTTTCTTAAAGATATTATTACAGAGGCACTATCAGAAATAAAATGAGTCTGAAAAAAGTAGGTTCTTCAGCTGAGTATGAACACAACCCAAGTAACTCCATACTATTATTAAAATCTATTTTACTCAACTCTAAAATACTAATTAAGAACAGAACTTTGTTTTAACATGTTATATGCTTCCAGGGATGCAAGTCAGCAGTTTCTGCAGGTTGGACAGCTGATGATCAAGAAACAGACATGAGATTTTCCTTGACTGGACAGTAACAAGAGATACTGAGTTATTTTTGCTGAATTAATCTAGCTGTTGCAGCCTATTAGAGTTATTCCTTTAAGATATACACAGATGAAAAAAACTGGCACTATTCCTTCATACAAAGTTCAGGGGTTTCCTTGCAACCATGAAAAATCTATTTACGAACCTTGGAATTCTACACATAACTCTAAGACAGGTGTCATATTTTCAGAGAAATTCTTCTGCCTTGGAATCCTGAATTTCCACTGTTAAAAGTCAAACTAAAGAGTGATCCTTGTGTACTGCCAAAAAAGCAAACCTTGAGAAACATCAGCTCTACATAACGTTAAACTTATTCAAAGTAGTATAAATCATGTAGGATAGTATAAATCATGTAGTAGTATAAATCAAGTATGCCAGTGAGCTAAGCAAAACTGACATCAGACAGCAGACATATACAAGAGATATCAAATGCCAGACATCTAACAGTCTCGGGTCACCATCACAGGAAACATACTGAGATCAGTATTAAGTTTTTAACTACAGATAGGCATCTTCAAAAGATCAGAGGCACAGACAGAACCTGAAGCAGAACAAACTTTCCTTGCCTGTACTCAATTTAGGGTGACGATCACCCTGCCCCATTTTATCTTGCTTAGGGTCAAATGATGCGAGATCTGCAGAAGACCTACAGCGTTTTCAGCCCACGAGAAAAAGTTGTTAACATTGTGCAAAGAGCATTTTAATACTAAACACAGCACAGATTATTACCTGAAACCAAAGTCACTTAGTACAAAGTTGTTTCTGTTTCTTAAGAATAAAACGGTGAATTTCGACAAAAAAAAAATACTACCTTTTTACACTTCTTAGGGCACTCAAATCTTTGTTTCCCCAAACCATTTTTCCCAAGGAGTCATGCCAAATTAAGCAAATTAATTCAGACATCTGTAATGCTGAACAGATTCCATGTTTACCTCTTAAAATATGAAATAGTTTTCTAGTAAATCTGAATATAAGATAGCTTAAAAAATTCAACTCTTACTTTCCATTATTTTCTGATTATAATCATATCCCAAGAATTTTTCCAGCTATTTGTGACAATTGTGAACAAAATACCCTCTTTCTTTTTATATAGCGCTACTGCTTCCTAGTAAGTACATTAAAACATCTGAGGTGTTTATCATGTTCCTTCATATTTTTAATTTCATAAATACTCAAATTATATTAGATTTGTGTTTCTAACATAATTGTTCACTACTGTAAATACTCCAGAACAACATATGGAAAAGTAAAACACACTCTCAAACCTTTCATCCTGTATAAAGAGAAAGAACAATGAGAGCTGCTTTTCTCCCACTAGACACTGCTTCTACTCTGTGGTTAAGAGAATAGAACCCCAGCACCTAATCCCCAAAAAAAGAAAGTACACACACACCAGCTGATTAGAGGAAAAGCTTTCTAACAGTTTAGCTAAATATCCATAAGTAGAATGTAAAGAATAACAATTTACATGTGAATCTACTTAGCTGAAAATGGGTATAAGCAAAGGATTAGAAAGCCCTAAAGATTCAATAACATAAGAAACCTCAGTTCAGAGTGTGACCAAGGTCAGATGCCAAGATATAGAACTTGACACCTCTGCAATCAGAAGCAGCACTATCAAAGCAGTCAGGAGACAAACCTGGTGCTGAACAATGGTGACAACAAGAACCATTTAAGCAAGACCAAAATAAACCCTCCATATACAAGAACTTCAAGATATGAAAAAAGATTATTTTCTTTGAAAAGCATAAAAACTCAGTAAAACTGATGTGTACCTTTTACCATTTAAATTTGTCATTAAAATTTATTATTTGCTCAAGTAACTTTGAGGAAATACAATACAATAATTTAATCTATAGATCAAATACTATTTCAAGACAAAATTAAGAAATATATCAATCATGTTACATTTTATGCACATTATTGATTTTTTTTCATGTCACAATTGATAAAGCCAACAATTTAAGAGAAAAAAATGCTATTGTAGCTAAGCAGTATGTATTTCAGCTGATTCTCACACACTTCTGCACAAGAAAGCCACATAATTTCTTGAGGTATGTTTGAGGAAACATACCCTTGCCAATGAGCCACAACATTGCACGTTGACAGTATTAGTTTAGTGGTTATGATGAGGAAAAATGAACACCTTAAAAGATGCAGTGATCCAGGCACATTGCTAAGAGTCTAAAACCTTGGTTTCTGATTCTACCAGCTATATTTTTTAACCAAGGCAAATTATTTACTTTGTATCTTAGTTTCGTTATCTGTAAAGTGAAAAGTGGCACTTATGACAGTGGAAAAATTTATACAAATTTTATTTGAGAGTTCTATAATAATTTTTATATGAAAAGTTAGACCTCAAATCAGAAATAGTATTGCATCCTATACTGATGATAAAGTTGACCTCTACTGTGCTGTGTTTTGTACAAACAATTTCACACAGCATTACTGAAGTTACAGATACTGTATCTATAAAAATGAACCAAAAATAGTAAGGTAAGGAGGGCATCCCAACTAACATGCCATCTATCTCCTCTGCAGTTGCTTTAGAAGTAAAATCAATTTTACAGATGCATCAAACACGGAAATAGGCTTTAACTGTTAAAAAACTCTTGCACATTACTGACACATTCTTAGAAATTGGAAGAAAAAAGCTTTGAAACTTTACATTTTAGATAAACATGAATTTAATTTGCAGGATAAAGTCACAGGGGCATCGAATATCACAGATCTGCAAGCAATGGAAATATCAGATTTTAAATAGGTAAGAAATCTTCAACAGTGTGAGACAAATAAGTTAAAACTTTTCCCATAAGACAGCTCAAACACAACCATTCATGAGCTCTGAAGGAGCAATATAACACTTTAGTGTGTAGTGTATCAGGCTCCTTTAGCTGTAGCAGTTAGATTTTGAAAAAAAAATCAGCACACTATTTTAAAAAAATGTGAAACCTTTGATGCAAAAACCCCCAAACTTTAATCACTAATCACTGTAAAGCCCAATACATACAACCAGGAAAATAAAAAGAAAAGATAGTGCACACATAACAATATCCTGTTCCCTTTTCAAATGTGCTTGCTTGTCACAGCAAATGGGAGTACTATTCATGAAAAAAAGCTTTAATCTAAATTTATACATTTCTTAAATGTTTTTATGTCTTACTAGTAGCATGCTTAGCTAGAGACAGGAAAAAAATATTCTGAAAACATCAGCAAAGTAGTATTTCAAGTTGTCCCCTTTCCCCTTGAAAATACTGTGTTATGTATATGATACAGGCCAAGGAACTTGCACATTATGAAGAGGACAAAACCATAACCAAGCTAAAGCAATCATTCCAAAACTCTTCTAAGGAAAGATATACAGCACATGCCACTCTGCCTCATGTACTAGCACTACATAAGTTACATGCTTTACAAATTACCCTATCAGATAATGAATTGTAAAGAAATGAGATGGAACATTCCGAAGGTATGAATACAGAAAGAACTTTTTTTTAAGCCAAAAAATTAACTTGACAAAACACTTTTTTCAACACTTCAAAGCAATTTTTTGCTGGATAGTCCTCATCTTGTCAAAGAGAGATAAATCATTTCATACTTAACCAAGGACTCAGATGTTATTAACAGTTATTCCAGCAAAATCAAACCCATTTGGCCTAAGACTAGGTCTTATAAGGGTAATGATAAAGGTATATATACAAACACACTTCAGTATAGATAAGAGTTTATATATATATAAAATATATAAAATTAAAACCTTTGATTTATATGTAACAAAGACATTTTACACACACACACACACACACACACACATATATATATAAAAAGCCTAGACTTTCTTGACCACTAAAAGACCAAACTAGCATCCACTACCTTCCTTTGCACAGTTAATGTCAATAGGAAGCTGAACAGCTTGTCTTCCATTTCTAAAAGATGTTCAAAAACAAAGTAGGAGAAGCAATATCCCAGAAGACTAAATCTTTCTCATGAGAACTTCTCAGGAAAACTTAGCTAATCTTAAATTTCCCTATACAGGAACAAAACCTAGGTATCATTTTACCAAGTGTTTTGCTTATGCACAGTACTGACAAGAACATCATGAAATGAACATTGGAAAGAAAAGCATAGGAAGAGTTCCTTTTTAGAATTCAGTTTCTACTTTAAACTACTTTTAGCTAAAAGAAAAACCAGTAAGTTAAGGTCATTGCACTAAAAGCTGACTCATTTACCTTCAAATAAACTGAGGTCTCTTCGTAGCCTTGGTCCATAAAGCCCTTCTAAAATACTTTCAAAACCTGGAGACAAAAGAAACATTTAAAACAGTCAATCAAAACTTCTTCAAATAAAGCAAATTCGAGAACACTGGCAACAAACATTCTCAAATTCTGAGAGCAATCCCAAAAATTGTTAAATTTATGACACAAATATTTACTTCTTCCACTATAGTACTACTCAACAGAATTAGGAGATAAAAATAAGACAAGGCAACTGCCATCTGCCCACAATCAGCCTATTAAGCCGTGCCCCAACAACCTCATTAGACTTAAAATAACTACCACAGAATCTTAAAGGTGGGAGGATTAGCCTCATAGCTCTATACAAGTGAAATAGTCTCTCTCTTACACTGGAAATCAGAGTAATGCATGGAGAGGTGAAAGAGAAAAAAAAAAAAAGAAACCTTCAATATCAGAAACTTCTCATTTATGACCTCCTGAAATGACATAATCTGAGTAGGCTAATATTCCTACAAATATAAAAAAGCAAGCTTATTTTGCTTCTGATACCACAACAGTACTCCCTAGTCCTCTGTATCCATACAAAAATGTTTTAAAATTGAGGATTAGATAAATCCAATTATTTTCCAGATTTACCAGCTAGTCTGTTTAGGTATTTGGTAAAAATCACATACTGCAATAAGGGAGAAGAGACACAGAGCAAATCAAATGATTGGAAAAAAAACAATGAAAAACAACCAAAAAAAGAAAAAAAGAGATGCATGACAACTGATGAAATATGGTGAGAATTTACATCATCAATATAACAGAAGTTTTGTTCAATACAGAGACAGTTTCCAAGTGCCCCCCTTTCTCCTCCTTCCAAATAATAAGCTTACTTGAAAATAAGAGGATAATTCAAAGCAGCATTTGAAGGTTCTCATTCCTTATACTAAAAGCCTGTCTGTATTATATATGTAGCTATTTTACAGAACTTTGCAAGACTATTTTATCATCACACCACATAAAAGACACCAAAATCTTCAGGAAACAAATACCATCAACAGAGAACATTTAGAATCACAAAATTTACTCATCATGTGATGCCTTTTAAGACAACACAACATCCTGCTCTCTCGTCAAAAGTTACATTTACTTTTTGGTTTAGATCGTATGCACACTAGTATAAGAAAAATAAGTAAGTACCATATCTTGAGTAGAAAAGGGAAGCTATCTTAACACATTGGAGCTGCTCAGATTGACAGGTTAGATTTTGTTAAAATTTGCATTATAAAATAATTTTAACATATGGACTATATATTATGAAATTTAATCAATTACAATTATACTCAATAATAAAATTATATTCATACGAGAGGACACAAATTAAATGTTAAACCTGCTGTCCACTCACAAATATATATGCACACATTTTTTAAACAGTAAAAAAACCCACAAAGCAAAAATCCAAGGCCCAAGCTTATACTAAAATTTACCTTAAAGCATTATCCAGCGACTCTTAAAATCAATGTAATACAAATTCACATCATATTAGCATTGCACAAATTCCTCTCTCTTCTGACTTCAAAGCGTTATGGACAAAAAAAAGCAAGAGAGGTGGAGTCTGAAGTTAAGATAGCAATTCTCCAGACATAACAGATTAGAAATATAATACACACTATTATCCATTGCTATGATCAATAATGTTATAAACTACAAGCCACTTAGGGTCAGCAGCTAGTTAGGTTCTGGCAAATTACTGTCACTGAGTAAAGAAATGAATGAAGCATCTCTTAGAGACAATTCTGCTTATTTCAAAAGAGCAAACACCAACACTTATTTCTTAGTACTTTGTCAGTCAAACAACAGGAAGGTTGTTTACCATCCCAGCCAGCATCAAAAACCTCCTTGTTCATTGGACACCTACCACCCCCCCACCCCCTGGAGGGTGTTACTTGTTTTTGCCTTTACTTTTGTCCTTATCTGCCTGCCTTACTGCCTGTTCCTATCTATGCAAAAACATTATTTTTTTATTACCCTGAGCAAAGGACACACCAACCCACTTCTCTGTTAATTCACCAAACTTAGTTCCATCCTACCCAACTGCTTCTCTTCCAAGTCTTACAGAACTTCTCCATGGAGCCAAAATAGATTTACTCTGCATGATCATTTGCTTTTTTTTGGATACTGGACACCTTCTTTTAAAAGAACATTTAGTTTTACAATCTAACAACATCGAGACAATCTTCTTCCACACCTTATTCTAAAATTTTCCCAGAAAACACCTGTATTACTTCCACACTCCACAAAGTACTTCTGCTGCCTTTCAGTAGGATTGATACAAGTTTAATTTAGCCTAAGCATGAAGATACAATCTTAGTTTCTAGTACAGCTACTGATAAATGTGTGCTGGCACTGTTTCATAAAATGCAACCACCTCGACACAGGCATTTCAATAAATCTTTGTTCTCCTTCTTGAGTCAATGTGCGTATGCAAACAGTAGTAGCAGTTTTGGAACTCTCCAGAACCTGAGGAGCCTACAGAAACCAGTCAGAAACACATTTTGCTTATACCTCTCATGATTCACTAACAAAAAAATCTTCTCCAAAGTAATTTTACAGAATTTTCTGTCTCTTTGTGGTTGATTGCCTCTCTGATTCCAAACTGCCTTTCAAAAGTGTTACTTGAGATCTGACACTTCCTGGCTCTGAACTGAAAAGCAACACTGTTGGCTCTATTAACTTGCAATATTCCAATCTGTCCAACTCCTATCTCTTAATAAATTTCTTCTGTTGTCTCACTTCTCATATCTTCATATAGAAAGAAGATCAGCTTTCTTCATTATCTCATACCCTTTAAGATCCAAGACAGGTTCCTCCAACAGTCTTCATAAGCAGAAATTTGTGATACAGCTAGTCTCTTAACCCAGTTACAAGTTTCCATAGTTTGCTTCTCTGAACAAAGTTGTGAACAGGTTTTTATCCTCTATATTAACTCTCACCCTGCCCCACCACCCCCTCTACCAACTCCACTCTTTCCTCAGAGGGACTCCCAGAAGCTGGCAGGATGAAGCTATGATCTCCAACAACAGGAAGGGGGCTCTCTTTTTCTATAGGTAGCTATTCAGGTGCCGAAAAGGTGAATAGCCCAGGAACAAGTTCCATCAGGTTTGGCATCTAAGCCTGATCCATGGGTCAACAGCCAAGGTCACTAAAAGGAAGCAACACGTGACAGTAATTGCAGAATCCCACGGGGCTTCTGTACAGCAGCTGGACTGGATGTCTTATAAATTCAGCTGTTTGCCTGTGGTCCAAACATGGAACGTTGCAGAAAAACTTTTATGGCTCATCTGGCCATTGCAATATTATCATTTGTTGCCCATCTACCTGGCCACTGTGATACTGCCAAAGGTGGTCTTCAGCAGATCAGAGCTAACTACAGGAGCACATGGACAATGGTGAATGACACCAGGTATCAATATAATAAATAACAGAGCCCAAATGCTGATCCAGGGGGAACACTTTGTTAGGGAAAACACATCCCATGGATCAACATCTGACTACGTGGCTGTAGGAAGGACTTCATCTCTTAAGAGAGCTCTGAGAAACAGAAAGCTTGAGAAAGACAGGATCTATTTGACTGTGCAAATCACTGCTAACAGGCTTGGCTCATAATGAGGTCTTCAACCTAGGTTTGCCAGGAAAGTGGAGACAGAAGCCTAGAAAGGAAGAGAACGGCAGAAAGGGTAAATGCACAGGACAAGACACAATGAGGACCTTACAGTCCTCCTGAACAAGTGGCATAAGCAGGGACACACCTTAAGCAGCTCTATATGAATGCATTCAGCACAGGAAGCAAGCATGAGGGATTATAAAACTGAGCACATAATGATCTTACTGGGAATACACAGTAGAGTGAGACAGTTCACACAACTGCTCAACTGCAGTTTAAGGAAGAAGTGAGAAAGTCAAGGACAGTGCTCAGACTTTATACAAAGAACTTGAACAAATGGAGCCTTAGTGTGGAATAGGCTACAGGACAGTTGAAAACCCACCAGTCAGGATTCAACCAGGCAAACATCATGGTGAACATCTGTTACAGACATTACAGACTGCCAGTCAAGGGTAAAGAAGAAAAAAGGCTGCACAATCACCAGCTTTAGCTCCCATAAAAAAAAACCAGTCACTAAGACATACGCTGGAAATGCAGCATGGTAGCGTACCAGCAACACAGAAGATTCTCTGGTGCTTGGAGGACAAACCTGCCTGAGAGGTGGGCAAGCTTAGCAGGAGATGAACCCTGCTAGCTGCTACTCATCACTAAGGAAGAGTTACTCAGTGATGTGACAGTTAACAGTGGTCTTGGTCACAGCAACCATGGGATGGAATTTAAGAACCCAAGGGAAGTGAGGAACCTGAGTAGCTGAATAATTTCCCTGGGCTTAGCGGTCACTGATTTACAACCCTCCCCCAGGACAGGGGGACTGCAGTGGAACTAGAAGTAGGATGCTGTACTATCTTGTCTAAACCAGGGAAGCCTTAAATGGGCCAAGGGCCTATGGCAACATTTTTGCTGAGTTATCCTACTAACTATTTCATAAAGTCAGAGAAATTGCAAAGTGAAGAGCAATTACCACTGCTGAGTAATTTAAAAACCAATACTTTGTGAATTAATTCCAGTATGTTATTTTAAGTGTCTCTACAAGTTTACTTAGATTTAAAACATGATTATTAAATCCAAAGGATACCTTCACAACTTTAAAATAAAATTTTCTTAAAGAGAAGCTACCTTTCAGCTGCTCACAGAGCTTTATGATTTAAGTTTCCCCCCAATGTTTTATCGCAGTAAACTGCTTAGTGTCTGAAACATCCTAAAAGTCTGTCTGCATTAGAGAGTGTATGTTGATATATATAAACAGTACAGGCTGTAAAATTCATTGTAATGAATAAAACAGAGTAATAATTAAATGGATACATTCCATGGAAGCTTCCCAGATTGTGCACGTTATACACACTTAGAGGTACTCAAAGAACACACAAGGGCTCTTTTCTCACTCCGTGACCAGATAGTGCCATTCTTC